TTAATAAACCAAACCTTTCACATTACTCCCAATCTATTCTCTTCCTCCCTACTGTATTGCATTCCAATGGATGCCATTCTTTGCCAGCCGTCCCTAATTTACTTAATCCCTGATTCAACAACAACTTTTATCCACTGTAGTACTATTCCAGAGTTCCTCTCAGTAATCATACAAAAATTCTCCAGCATCATGCCTCTTACGTCTATTTGTGGGACCTCGATGTGTGCAAATTGGCTGTTGCTTTTGCTTATGAAAATTGGTCGCTACAGTTGACAGTAATTACGGTAGAGTGATTTGGGATGTTTCAATATTGTAGATGCTACAAAAAGTTTTCCTTTTACAGTGGAGATGAGCGCTTCAGAACAACCTGGCTTTTGATCTGGAGCTACTTCACTCCAAATAAAGCCTTTCCGAGATACACGCAGATGCTGTCTGAACTGGGCCTTGAAAACATCAATACAGGTAAAATACTTAGAAATCATTGTAATTTTCATTCAGGAATCATGGAATGATAGAATCTTACAACGCAGAATTGGACCATTTCAAGTTATGTTAGTTCGTTTCCTCCACGTGAGCCGTCTTATCTAATCCCACTCTGCTCCACTCTCCCTTTTATCTTTTACTATTCTTTTTTTCAGGCATCTAATTCCCTTTTTCAAAAAATGCATTTAGCAACTATACTTCAACAAAGATGCGTTTAATTATTTGAAGAAAAATATCCCCTCAAATATTCCTTCGCTGTTAAATACAATCCACCTACGCATTGTGTATTCCTCAAATATCTCGTGAGTTTGCTAATGTACATCACAATGGTAGATGTAGGAAATTCATTCTTTTACACTTATTTATCACACCGCCATTTTTGGATAGGAATAAAGACACAATTTACAATTGGAAGTAATGCAAGGGATCTTTCCAGCATTGGGAAAAAAAACTTGTTATATGTCTTTCCACCCCTCCAAGGTGCAGAATGGCAGAACTGGGTAAAGAAAATCTCTTTGGTGTCTTGCTTTGATGTAATGATATAATAAACCTGGATGCATTACCGAAGTTAGGCATGAGATTGGCTAAATTATCTCACAGCTCTTTCTCACCATGTTGCCAGGTACATATGGGAGTATCAGTAAAACTGTAGCAACGATAATTTTTAATGCGCTAGCAATAAAATTCTTACCGTTTTTTCAATATTAATCGGATATTTATGCTCTTTCCAGGACTTGCAATGCTCATTTTTATTTTTTATCTATTACATAGATATATTATACTTTATTTCTTCCTTCCTCCACCCAATTGAACCATTGTGGGGAAATTTAACCAGAGATATCCCGGGCTTATTCTAGTGTACTTCCTCCAAGCTGATCACAAGAGAGGTTTGGGACAAAGTTCCTTTGTCCCTTTTGACCTCATCCTTTCAGAATACCAACACTATTGTTTGCTGAATCAAGCCGAGGTCAATGAGTGCAGTGTCCTGGTCTCGACAAGCCTTCAGCTATTTGGGGATTTGTGACATTTTGCGCCTGGGCTATAATGGTTACTGTGGAGAAGCTGGATATACCTTTTAATACCAAATAAAGTTGGTCGTTAACTTCATGGCTGTTTGTGGGAACATTCGTGTGCAATATGGTTCTGCAGTCCCTCCACTTTAAGGTAAATCCTGTAAAGCACTTTAAATGTCCTCCCAGCGAGAAAGGCACTATATCAAATGCAAGGATTATATATTTGTTATTTTGACGTTACAGAGCCCCTGTGGTGGAAATCAGGCTGTGCAATGTTCATGGTTTTCAGTTCTTTCATCCATTGTAATAGCAAAACTGCACGTGGAACCCTGGACTCGCAGAGTCTTGTAGCTCAGTGGTTGGGGCACTCACCTCGCAAGCAAGAGACCTGGGACTGGGGGTAATAATTCCTTCAAATTTTTTTTAAAAAATAATAAATTGGTCACTCAATCCACGACTCTTTGTGGGACGCTACTGTGCGCAATTGGCTTCCAAGTTTCGTCCACAAAGTATATGTGGCAATTCACTTTACAGTATATTCTGTGAAGAGCTTTGAAACGTCTCGAAAACGTGATAAGGCGCAATATCAAAAGCGAGGATTATTGTATCAAATGGAATGATTATTATTATAATGATTCTTTTGGAATCTGCTTTTATTATCATCAGGCCTTTGCTGAGGAGATGCTTGTGGGGTTAATAATTTCCTCAAACAAATTATAGTATGCACTGGGTTTTTACCTGCTTCAAGCCACTTCAAATTGGGCACGATTTATAAGAGAGCATCAGTTCTTTATTATAAAGTGTAACAAGAGCTCCCCTGATGGCCTCATGGCTAAAGACACTGACCACCCAATGAGGATTGGACAACAGAGTAGATCACAGGTTTGTTTAAAGTTAGCCGGGATAGCAACAGAAGTGCTAAAATTAGCCTCAGTTTCCCTGACAGAAACAATAGCACAACAAAACTATATTGGCAAATCTTATTGCAAAAATGTAATTTGAAAATATCGCTGTAATCAGTGTCAAGTGTACGATAGACCCCGAATGAGAGTTGGGAGGTTATTGAGCTGTGTGAGATCACTGAGCTAAAACCAATCCCACCGTCATACATGCAATTTATACCACTTTATTAGTGCTAGAGAAATATTGGCTGGTCAGTTAGACAGATAAAGGCACTCTTGCCTCTGAGCCACAAGGCTGTGGGTACAAGTCCCAGGTCAAGACTTTGACACTAATAACTGGGAGAGTGCTGCATTGTCCGACGTACTCAGGTTGAGACATTAAACCAAGGTCTCATATGCCTGTTCAGACGGACGTTACAGATTCTGTGGCACTATTTTGAAGACGAGGGAGTTTCTCCCGATGTCCTGGCTGACAATTCCCAGGTAAAAACGGTGGGGTCCTCAATCCTTCGCCCTCACCATTCTGCACCCAATATCTTCTGGAATTGGTCAAGCAGGGAGCCTCCGTCCCTCCAGGAGAGTGCTCATTCCATTCCAGGCAAAGGGCAATGTCCATGTGTTGGTGGCACACACGTGTGATACCCTCAAGCACGATGATGTGCTTCTGCAATTTTTTTTTGGGGGTGGGGGGCCGCCGGGTGTCTGCCACCTGCGGAAATCCATCCCCGTGCGTTAAGAATATTCAACCGAGCAGAGAACTCCAGGCGCCCCACCTGCAGGTGGGAATCCCAGAAAAATAATAATAATAATAATAATAATCCTTGCATTTGATATAGCGCTTTTCACGTCGGGAGAGGACGTCCCAAAGCGCTTCACAGAATACACTGTAAAGTGAATTGACTGTATATTTGTGGGCGAACGCGGCAGCCAATGGCGCACAGCAATGTCCCACAAACAGTCAGAGAAAGGTTGTTGGGGTGGGGATGGAATGCGCGCGCTCTGCCCCCCCCCCGGGGAGGGACACCTTCCCGCTGACCCGCGGCGGCTGGGGAGCACGAGGAGGGGGCGCATGGTTGGCGCCCGAGCGTCAAGACGAGACACCTGGCAGCGGGGAAGGAAAAAAATATCCTCACGTTCCAGGACAACGGGGAAAATTGAATAATCCCTGCGGTCGGGGACGGCGACTAAATCACGGCTTCGGGGCGAACCTCGGAGCGCTTCGCAGGATACGCCGCCGAGCGTAGTGACTGCACGTTTGGTGGGCGAAACGCGGCGGCCCCCACACGGGCAGCCGACGACGACAACAACAACAAAATGACGTTCGCAGAGCGCCGTTCACGTCGGGCGGACGTCCCGAGGCGCCCGGACAGTCAGGGGGTCGGGGCCCGAGCGTGGGGGGGGGGGGGGGGGAAGGCACGGTCGAAGCGGAGGAGGAGGAGGAGGAGGAGGGTCTCGAGACCGGGCCCTTGAAGGTGAAGGAGGAGAGCGAGGGAGGAAGCGAGGCCAAGGGACCGTGGGAGGGGGGTACCGGAGCGCGGGGAGGGGGGAGGGGGGGCAGAGAGGGTTTGTTTGGGAGGGGGTGTGGGGGGCAGATTGGTAGGGAGTCAGCAGGTCAGAGAGGGGAGGTTGGCAGTCAGTGCTCGGCCCCCGGTGAGGGGTGAGGGGGTGAGGGAGGAGGGGGGGCGGCCCTCGCTTCAAAATGGCGCCCAACACCAACCAACCAGTCACAGCCCCGCGCCCGCCGCCGCCGGTTCGCCTGAGCTGAGCCGCTCCCCGCCCGCCCGCCCGCGCTGCCCCAAACTCGCCGGTTAAAAGGAAATCTGCAAGTCATTGCGGCAGCCGAGCCCCGAGCCGAGTCCCGCCCCGAACCGACCCGAGCACCGCCGAGCCCGAGCCGAGCCCCGAACCGAGTCCCGCCCCGAGCCCCGCCCCGAGCACCCCCGAGCCCCGCCCCGACCCGAGCACCGCCGAGCCCCGCCCCGAACCGAGTCCCGCTCCGAACCGACCCGAGCACCGCCGAGCCCCGCCCCGAGCTGAACCGAGTCCCGCCCCGAACCGAGCACCGTCCCGAACCGACCCGAGCACCGCCGAGCACCGCCGAGCCCCGCCCGAACCGAGCCGAACCCGCCGAGCCCCGAACCGAGTCCCGCCCCGACCCGAGCACCGCCGAGCCCCGCCCCGAACCAACCCGAGCACCGCCGAGCCCCGAGCCCAACCGACCCGAGCGGTCCTCCTCCCTCCCTCCCTCCCCACCACCCCGGGAAAAGGTGGTTGGCGAACAGTCAGCCATTTGCGCCCTTGAGCGAACCCCAAACGCCCGCGCGACCACTCCCTCCCACACCCGCAACACAGGGACAATAACAACAACAACAACAATAATAATAATACCGGGAGAAAAGCGCGAGGCACGAGGTCACGCTGCGCGTCACCGCAGCAGCGCCTCCCCTCGGCCCTGCCGCATAGCAACAGGCGCCGCCCACACACGCCACCAGCCCCTCCTCCACCCCGCCAGCTGATTGGCCGGGCCGCCCGGTGGGTCGGAGGCGGGACGGGAGCACTGCCGCCGTTGATTGGCCGACGCGCCCGTCCGTCCAGTCGGGGCGGCGGGTGACGTAGGGCCGGCGTCTTGGAAGGGGGAACCGGCGGCGGTTGAGGCGACTCGCGAGCCGCTTCCTGGTCAGTCAGTCAGTCGGTCAGTGCGGGGCGTGAGGGGAACCGGCGGCGGGTGGACAGGGCGGCCGCGCGCCTTCACGGTCATCGAAACGGCGATAAAAAGAATCCCCACCGACTCTCTCTCTCTCTCTCGCTCTCTCTCTGTCGGTCTGTAGTTGTATAACCCGGGCCCGGGCTGCAGGCCGCGGGGTGAGGGAGTGAGGGAGGGAGTGAGGGAGAGGCCTTTTTTTTTTGGGAGAACTTTCTATCGTGTTCTGCGGTCGTTTGTGGCCTTGGGAGGAGGAGGAGGAGGATGGCGGGATGGTCAGACGGTCAGCGTCACTGAAGGGCGTTGTGAGCCTCGAGTCGTAATAAATAACCGACCCCACAAACCGTTTCGGTATCTAATCATCATCTCCCCCCCCCCCCCACCCTCTCCCCCCCACCCTCTCCCCCCCACCCTCTCCCCCCCACCCTCTCCCCCCCACCCTCTCCCCCCACCCTCTCCCCCATCCTCCCCACCACCCCCACCCTCTCCACCCCCACCCTCTCCCCCCACCCCACCCTCTCCCCACCCACCCGACACCGGCTGAGGCGAGAGGTCCGGGAAGGGGCGAGAAGGCGAAAAACGGTTCGTTTGGGAACTCGGGGATTTATTTAATTATTCATAATTCATAATTCATAATAGTTATTAATTATTTGTCGTCGTCGTCGTCTTTAAGCGAATTTGCTCTTTATCCTGTGCGGTCGGTCCTTGGAAGTATTGGAAGAAAGAAGAAAAGAGGAAGAGGAGGAGAAGAGAGAGAGAGAGAGAGAAAGAGGAGAGAGAGAGAGAGAGAAGGAGGAGCAGAGAGGAAGAGAATAAGAAGAAGAGGAGAAAAAGAAAGCGAGAAAAGAAAGAGAGAGAGAGAGACAACTGACCGGTTGGGGATATATATATATATTGCTTCACTTTCTCCCCTCTGCCCTCTCTCCACCCCATTAATTGAAGACGGTTGACACGAGGTGTGTGTGTGTTTATATATATATATATATATATATATATATATTGGAGAGAGTGGAAGAACAGAAACAGAACCAGAAGCCGCACGAGGACCCCCCACCACCACCCCCTCGAAAATGCTCTCGCTGAAGAAGTACTTCACGGAGGGGCTGATCCAGTTCACCATCCTGCTGAGCCTGATCGGGGTCCGGGTGGACGTGGACTCGTACCTGGACGCGCGGCTGCCGCCCCTCCGCGAGATCATCCTGGGCCAGAGCTCGGCCTACACCCAGACCCAGTTCCACAACTGGCGCAACGCCCTGGACGGCCACGACCTGCACCCGAAGAGCGCGGACCTGGACCGCTACTTCGCGGCCCGGCGGCTGCTGCTGCACGACGTGCGGGGCCTGGACCGGCTCCTGGTCCCCAGCACTCGGCTCAGCGCGTGGCTGGTGCACGGCGGCGGCGGCGGCGGCGGGGGCGGTGCCGGCGGCGGCGGGGGTGGGGGCAACCGCGACCCCGAGGGCCCGCAGCCCGACCTGCCCCCCGAAGGCCCGCCGGGCGCGGGCGGGGTCGGGGTCGGGCCGACCGAGGCGGCCGGCACCCAGGCCGGCGGGAGGAGCGGCGGCGGCGGCTCGTCGCCCGCGCGGGGCTTCCCGGAGGCGGATGAGAACTCGGGGGCCGTGGCGCCGCCCGCGGGGGGTGACCTGACTAAAGAGGTAATTGTCGCAGCGGGGTCTGAATTGGGCACATTTCACACACACCCCTCACCATCACCATCACCATCACCCCCACACCACACCCCTCACCATCCCCATCACCCCCCCACACACACACCATCACCACCCCCCCCACACACACACACCATCACCACCACCACCACACACACACCCCACCCCCCCCCCACACACACACACACCCCCACATCACCACCCCCCACCACACCCCCCCCCACACACACACACCCCTCACCATCACCCCCCCCCACACACACCCCTCACCATCACCCCCCCACACACACACCCCACCCCCCCCCCCACACACACACACCCACCACCATCACCCCCACACACCACACACCATCACCACCCCCACACCCACCATCACCACCCCCCCCACACACACACACCATCACCACCACCCCCCCCACACACCACCCCACCCCCCCACACCACACACACCCCTCACCATCACCACCCCCCACACACCCACCCCCCACCACACACACACCCTCACCATCACCCCCCCCACACACACCCCTCACCATCACCACCCCCCACACACACACCCACCCCCCACACACACACCCCCACCATCACCCCCACACCACCACACACCATCACCACCCCCCACACACACCATCACCACCCCCCCCACACACACACACACCATCACCACCACCATCACCCCCACACACACCCCTCACCATCACCATCACCCACACACACACCCCACCCCCCCACACACACACACCCATCACCCCCCCACACCATCACCCCTCCCCCACACCATCACCCCCCCCCACACACCCCACCCCCCCACACACACCCCACCCCCCACACACACCTCTCACCATCACCCCCCACCACACACACCACACCCCACACCACCATCAACCCCCACCTCCCCACACCCCCCCACCATCACACCCCATTCCCCCCACATACCCCCCACCATCGCCATCACCACCATCACCCCCATCACCCCACCATCACCCCCCACACACACCCCACCTGCACTACACCATCACCCCCTCCCCCTCGCCCCATACCACACATCACCATCACCCCCCATCTCCTCCACACACACCTCCACCCCCCATCACCCCTCCCCCCCCCCAACCCCACCACCATCACCCCCATCTCCTCCACACACACCCTACCCCCACCATCACCCCTCCCCCCCCCCCACACCCCACCACCATCACCCCCCATCTCCTCCACACACACCCTACCCCCCACCATCACCCCCTCCCCCCCCCACACCCCACCACCATCAACCCCCTCCCACCCCCCCACACACACCCCCCACAAGGTTTTATTGGGTCTGAGTGCAGTTTCAAACATTGTCGAGCTCGGGGAATGCCGTTTCAACAATGAAACAAATCTGTCCCCAAATAAGAGTCTTATATCAGAAGACACGGGCAGGTTGTTCTGGCATCAGGAAGCTCAAGAGGTTTTTAAGAATTCCCCCACACTGCTATCAGGTCGGAACCTGTCGGGTGCATTGCCTGTTCATCTAGTTTCTAAAGCAAACGTTATCATTTAAAAAAAAAAGTGGCATCGATACAGACACCAGAAATAAAACACAGATAACCCCCACCCCACGGTGAACCGGCATTCTATTAAAAGGCACTTTTCAGGGAAATTTTCCACACAGCACTTGCAACATAGTCGAATACTTCAAAAAGCTCATAAATGCTGCTTATATATCGACAATTTAACAGTTGTTAACGGCTTCTCTGCAATTTTTCTCTCCCCAAAAATTCAATAGTTTGGCGTTGCATTTAGCAATCCCAGACTGAGTGCTGAGTGGCGGGGATGGTGGGGTGCTGTGTTATCTGCATTTGAATCCAAACTCCAGTAACTTAATCCACTGTGCTACACAGAATCTTAATTTTAACAAAATGGTGATACAGACAAACAAATCACTGGGCAACTTGAATATGCAGTAACTCTAGTCTTTCAAATTCTCTACTGGGTTTGTATTCCCTACACATCAGGCAGTGAGCATGTAAGGATTAGGGGAAATCCCAATTATTAGTGTGGCCTCCGGAGGCTGGAGTTTCCCTACTGATTATTTGGATATTCATTTAATGACTATGCTATAAGAACAACAAAAACATCTTGCATTTGTATAGCAGCCCTCACGCAGCGTATGGTCCCCAGTGCGCTTGAAAGAATAAGATATGAAGGGGTACGGGGGAGTTCAGAATGCTTTTAAGTGCTCCAAGTTGCGACCTTGCATGAAAGGTGCTAAATAGATGCAAGTTCTTGGTTATTTAGTCAGTTTGCCACCAATGCTACCATCTGCTGGGAATATTAACACCTGCAATCTGGGTTGGGCCCCCACGCCCAGGTCAAGAATGCACATTGGTGATGCATGCTGGCAGGTGCTTTAGGTCAATGCAATGTAACATTTTTATGCTTCATTTCTCCCCCCATTTCTTAGGATATAGCTCTGTGTTTGCTGGCAGCCTTCGCTAACTTGTGTAATAACATCCCCATGGTCATTATTTCAGTTTAGACAACAATAACAACAACTTGGATTTATATAGCGCCCTCCACGCCGGACGGCGTCTCAGAGCACTTTGTTAGGGGCTGTTCTTTGCTCACTGGCCTGAATCAGCAAGTACTAAATGACAATGCTGCTGAAATCCTATCAGGAAACAAGTGATTTTACTGATTTTTGGGCTTAATGAATAATCTAAAAATAAAAGAATCTTGTCATATCGTATTTCAGTGACCTCCCCTTGACTTCTTTCCCTTTTCCTCCATACTTGTGCAGTGCCTCATTCCAGATTTAATCCTCCGGTCTTGTCTTTGTGGGATCTTCAAACAATGAAAGCAGTTTGATAACGCAGCACCCCATTTGTCCACACTAACACGTTTGCTACCCTGGTCAGGGCATATGGAGGAAAATGTGGAGTGGAAGTAACTGTACAGTTGTGCAGTTGCTAATGCTTTTGATTGCACTTGTGGCATTGGAAAACATGGTTTCTTGTCACCTTAGAGTTCCAATTATTGTATAGGCTTGCAAGGTCTAAACATGCCTTTAGAGTAGACTTATTTTAAAGTAAATAATGCAAATTGTTGTGGGACCAATATGATACAGTAGGCATACAGTATTTTTGGAGTGTATATATGTCTGTGGGGGGAATGTCTCAACTAAAAGTGGCCATACGTATAGTGTATTAATTTGGAATCTAGTTCTCTGCAGATTTTAAAACGAACTTACTGCTAAATTAACTGTTGGCCCAGCTGAGATCCGCTAGCTCAGGATAGCGTATTCTATAATAATAGTCCTTGCATTTGATATAGAGCCTTATGACATCTTCGAGACGTCTCCAACCGCTTCACAGAATATAGTGTAAAGTGAATTGACTGTATATTTTGTGGCCGAAACATGGCAGCCAATTGCGCACAGCAGTGTCCCACAAACAGGCGTGGATTGAGCTACTACGGCTGAGCTACTTGTAGAATGAACTCACTGAGCTAACAGTGGACCTACAAAACAGCCTTTTAAATAAAATGCTGAAGAGTTGCCTTTTGCCTGGTGGCCTCTGTGTGATGATTTGGTGTAATTGAGACAGCAGCGGAGCTGGGCAATGGCACGGATGTGGGGTAGAAAGGACAGTTGAGGGGCAAACAAGACGCCAAGGTTCCGGACCGGCTCAGTAAGGTGGAGTGCATCCTTTTATAGTGATGCTGTCAGTGCCTGAGGTGTGGGGGAGCTCACGGGAGCCAATAAGGAGAGCCTCGGTTTTGTTGACATGTCTTGTTGCTTAGTGTTCAACTTCAGCAGGAAGTCTAATAATAATAATCCTTGCATTTGATATAGTGCCTTATCAGTCTTCAAAACATCTCAAAGCGCTTCACCTAATATACGGTAAACTGGAGTGACTGTATTTTGTGGGTGAAAATACTGTAGTTAGTGTCTCCCACTCCGACTGGCAGAGGAGTGAATCCTGTGACCTGAGGTTGTGGTATTTTGTTTATCAGAGAGGAGAGACGTTGCAATAGCAATGTGTTCTCGTTTAGTTCCCTTCAAACTGTGCAGATAGCTGTGGTCGAACAGTTGCTAGTCATGTGCTTTTCCAAAAGAAAGCTTCATAACATCAACAGCGTTTTATTGCTTGAAAGATAAAAATAAGTGTTCCAGAACAGTGAAAAGCATGTCCAAACTTGCCAGTAAATCCATCTGGCTCAAGTTTATTTTTGTTGTCAGGATTTCTAGATGTGTGTGTGGGGGCGGGGGGGGGTTCACATCCAGTCGCTATTCTGGTAATGGTATGCATGGTTAGGTGAGGTGGAGGATCTTGCTCTTGTTTACTGCTGCGTTTGAATCTGATATGTTGCAGCTAAATGTTCAAGTACGTGATGTACATTATGTTCATATTTTTGCGGACTGGGTAATCGATATATGTATAGATCCTGGGACTGGGGTCTGTTGATGACAACTGAGCTTTCTACAGTTTCTACAGGTCCAGTTGTCAGTATTTCAGTTTCACAAGTGCTGCCGGTTTCTCCCGCAGCCCAGCATGCTTTCAGCTCCATTGAGAAATTCCCTCTTACTTAAAGGACTAAACCTTTGCAGCAATTGCAGCTTGTTTTATAATTTAAAACATGGTATTCTCGTTGTCCCCCTTTCTTCCTGATTTAGTCCAGTGGATAGCAGTTCTGATCTGCATTGTTATCAATGTGACTCATTTTTGTTGCTCTCTTCACCCTCTCCCTGAGCGATAATCAGCCAATATTCAGTATCTGTTACAGTGGCTGTTTGGGAGATCACACCAAGGCGGAAGGACTAGAGGTACAAAATTCTGAGTTTCAAAGGGCAGTTTCAGGACAGACACCAGAAAGCATTTCTTTATACAGAGAGTAATCGATAGCTAAACCATGTAACCAGGCGAAGACATTGGCAGCTTGATGATGTATCGCAAAGGCAGTAAGTCGGATGTGTGATTGCAAGGATGAGATCAAATGACGGACTTTCTTCATTTTCATCTTGTGATCTTGCTTCTGTTAGTCACCGAACGTCTGCCATTAAATGCACTCTCAAAAAGAACAATTTATAAAACAAAATGTAGGAATTGTTGATTTGTCTCATTCTAAGAACATAGTTCCTGTATCCAATGGTTCCTGAGATTACTGAGCCTGCTTTGTGAAGGATCCATAGTGCTGGTTACTGGTTCCCTTGCTGTATTCCATGACCTATAAAGGGAAATAAGTTTAAACAGAGGAACAGGTGTAGGCCATTCAGCCCTTCGAGCCTGTTCCGCCATTCTGTAAGATCATGGTTGATCTGTACCTTAAATCTAATTACCTGCCCTTGCCCCATAATCCTTTGATTACCTAACAAATATCTATCCACCTCAGTCTTGAAAATGTTAGTGAATCCAGCATCACTGCTTCACTGTGCTCTGGTCAATATATCCGGCTTTTGGTTGTATTCTGTGCCAAGTCCTTCAGACTTCCTGGTTAAAGCTTCATTCCCAGGGTTCTTTTGTCCTTCCACATGATGGTTTCAATATTGTGTGTTTATGCGTCACTGTCTCCAATCCTGCAGTTCGTATACTGAGCTGTGTATCAATACTAAAGGAAGGTGGCAAGACCTTTCCTTTTGTTTAATGTTGATGGTGCATGGAAAATAATTGGTGGCTCACAGAAAATAAACTGAGTGGTATGAGTTGCAGAACCTACATACAAGTGTTTCAGTCCGACACATGCCTCATCCCTAACACACATCAAGTATATTTGCAGTCATTGATCTTTGCCTCAACTCAAACTAATCGCCCTTGCCCCATACCCCTTAAGGAATAATTTCTACCTTTTCTAATGGTTTAGTTTGTAGTTGAAGATATACGGGAGATCACAGCAGTTATGATGGAAAATTTGGAATGATGCAATTTAGTTTCCCCAAGATTGTACACTGCTGAGTCTGGATTTGTGGTTTTACCTTTCTTCCACTTTTCCTCCTACCTCATTGGTGCCATTCTGTCTGGTCGTGTTTGGTATGTGTCTTCTTCTCTCTCTCGTTCTCAAGTGCCAAGTGCTTACCTGATCCAATATATTGCTATTGTATTACTGTAACTGATGTCTAAAGGTGAGGATTGTGGCCTTTAGACCTGAGCTATGATCTAAAGCAGCTCCCACATTGGTAACCATAGACTTGTTTAGCTTTAGTTCTGGATCAATTTTATCTATGAACCAAAGGAGGAACTTTGTTCTCTTTATCAAATAACACTTCCTAAAGTCATGCTGTAGAGTTATATAAACATTTTAAGGAATGCTGCTTCCAATTCTGGGTGCCTCATTATAGAAAGGATGTCAGAGCCATGGATTGAGTACAGCATAGGTTCACGCAGACGATGTTGTAGATTAAGGCTTGTAGTTATAATAATAATAAAAATAATTCTTGCATTTGATATAGCACCTTTTCACATCGCAATGAGATGTCTCTGAGAGCTTCACAGAATATACTGTATAGTGACTATTTTGTGGAGAAAAGCAGCAGCCGATTCCGCACTATTACAACAATTATTATAAAATATTAAAACATTTATTTATCAGGATATGCCTGAACAATTGAGTATTTTTCTCACTGGAACAAAGAAGGTTTAAGAGGGAATCTATTAGCTATTAGGATGAGACATTTAATGAGGGATTAGGTGGGCTTTTGAAGAAGAACAATATAAAAGTTTATTGGGAGGGGGCAAGGATTGGAATGGTTATCTCTGGTGGAGATGCTGGCAGAGGCTCAGTGGCTTCACTCTGTGCTGTAATTTCTATGATTGTATAAACATATGAGCTGTCAGCCAAACCGCTGATTAATCGTTGTACAGTTCCTCTGGTGTTTATAAAAGGATGAGCGTTCAGTGAGGCTGAACCATCATTGTCCACTTGCTTAATTGAAAATCTTTTCCTAATGAGATGGCAAACTGTTTAAATTGGTGCACCGTGGAGGAGAGGGTGGCTGGAGGGGAAATATTTCTTGCTTTCTCTCTCTGCTTTCTGACTGGTGCTATGGGATCTTCACTGGTTGGGAGAGATGGGCCAGGGGATTAACAGCATTATATATCACTTCCACAATTCTCCACTGGAGAGTATTGATAAGAACAACGGTCTTGGTACCCTCATAACCTTGCATTAGGACTACATGGACTGCTTAGCTAGAGAGGTACGGACAGGAGAAGTGAGCAGCTTCTGATTGCTGGCATAGTACAGGTTAGCAGATGTTAGCAAAGGCACTGTATTTGGTTTCAATGCTCCTTGGCGTGGGAAGGAAATGTCAGCCAGTTTCCTCTTTTGATTGCTATTTACTATGCGTGTACACAGTTATTGGTTGAGTGTTGATGCATAGGCTGTGTATTGTGAACTGCATAACTATCATTCATTAATGGGCTGTGGACATTGAGATTTTGTCTAGTACAATAACAACTTGCACTTATATTTATATGCTTGAACCACATTAACCCATGCTGTCTCTTCATGAGCAATGCCACTCATCAGCGCCTCGGGACGTCCTCCCAACACAAAAAGCGCTTTACAAATGTAATTTTGTTGTTGTTGTGAAGCATTCCACTTCCTGCATTAGCCATTACAATAACAATCTGTGGTCATTTTAAATGAATTATGAAGATATTAGTGCTAGCTGCAGATTTTAAATCCTTTGGGTAGGTGGATTTAGTCCTCTATTCCCTTCTTTTGAGTGAGTGATTGTGTGAGTATAACATAGTAAGTTGAGACCGGGTAAGTAATGCACTAACTGGGTGTTAGGCTATTGAGAATGATGTTATGTACAGTTACACACACCGGCCAGTCTAGACTGGCAGTTGGTCATTTCTTTTCTCCCTCAGGCTTGCAATCAGAAAGGAATTTACATTAGCTGCAGCCGGGTATTGTGACACATTAACTGTCACTATAACAGAAACTTATGTGAAGTCAAAGCCATGACCTGTTACTCATGATCACAGTAGATGCTAAAGATGAAATGACATCTGCTGGGTGTGGGGGTGGGGGTTTGTCTTCCTTGGAGGGGAGGTAAGCGGGATCTCCTTGGAACTGAACTGGCTCCAAGGTGACTGCTCGGGCATGGGATAACAGAATCAAGCCAGCCCTTTATGGCGGTCTCGATAGTCCGGTTACTAAGCCAAGTGAGTCTGCAGTACTCCAGGGCACTGCTTATTGGCAGGACCTAGGAAAGCAGACCACTCACAGGGAATTATCCCACTCAGCTCCTTGTTATCCCTGCAAGCCAAAGCCCTAATGGGTAAGGTGGTCCAACTGGACGAGCAGCGGGAAAGCTTGCCGGACAGTAATATCAATTGCAAGCTATGTGGTTTTAGACTCCAGCAGTTACCCCGACACACACTCAGGGGTCCCCAAACCTTGGTTCTTGCCAACTTGCGCCTAACAGTTTCTGGAATTAGGTCAGCAGGATAATAATAATAATAATAATAATAATCCTTGCATTTGATATAGCGCTTTTCACGTCGGGAGGACGTCCCAAAGCGCTTCACAGAATAGACTGTAAAGTGAATTGACTGTATATTTGTGGGCGAACGCGGCAGCCAATTGCGCACAGCAATGTCCCACAAACAGTCGTAGATTGAAAATGACCAATTTATTATTGTTTTTTGTTTTGGAGGGATTATTATTAGGCGTGTGGAGTAAGGAAACTTGCCCAAGGTTTCGCCCTGCCTGGAATTGAACTCAGATCTCTCGCTTGCAAAGCGAGTGCTCTAACCACTGAGCTACAGGACTCCACATACAGGATGGGTATCTCCTGGCAGAGAGTGGGCGTTCCATTCCAACAATCTATCTCCATGTGTAGGTGGGATGCATGGAAATCTCAGCTTAGTTTGGATACTCTTAAGAATGGTGATGGGTTTCAGACACCCAGCTGACCAAAAAAAAGTCAGCAGTTTATAAGCCTTTGTCTCCCTGATACTGAGTTTTCACACACATATTGATTAACAGTCATGTTCTAAGAATATACCTAATAGCGTTCAATATTAACAGTATAGTAATACTGACCGCACAACTTTCAAACTCTTAGGCTTCACTTCTCTGCCTCTTCTGAGCTGATGGTTGCTTACTTTGCAGTTGATTGATTGTGGTGAAATATCAACCGTTGGAATCACTGGCATTCTCTGGTTCTAGGACATTGATTTGATTGATATCCTGTGGAGGCAGGACATAGATCTGGGCGCTGGGAGAGAAGTTTTCGACTACAGTTGCAGGCAGAAAGATGGTGAGCAACAGCAGCAGGATGAGGAGGAACAAAGCAACAAGAGTGAAGAACCAGAGAAAAGCCATGGGGACTGGAGGAGCACAGCACTGCAGGGAACTGCCCAAGTGGATGGGGAGACTGGAGAAAGTGTTCCAGCTCAGGTACTGCCTAATAACTATAGAGTCTTGAATCTACATCGATCGTTCAACCAAATTCTCACATAGATAGTCTGACCAACCAGCTGATTGGGAGATTGCATTACCAAATGATCTCTCTCACCTCTGGTTTGGACTGACCGATCCAGTTACACATTTCCCTTTAAGCAGCAACTGTTATCAAGTAAAGTAGAATAGCTGGTGCTGATGGCGAAGGAGGTGGTAATGGTTCTAAAACAATCTTTATTTTTACACACAGTAATAAAATAATCATGCTTTCATTTGACATAACTGCTTTCTCGTCAGGACGATGTACTAATGCGCTTCACAAGATATACTGTAAAGTAGTGATTGCATTTTACAGGCAAATCAAGCAGATTACAGCGTATTCTGACCTGATATTATCGATTTCCTTTTGTTTTCAAACCAGTGTTCTCAAAGATGGTTTTATCCCACTACAAATAAATCAGATGAGTTTACTTCTTAAAAGCAAACTGACCCAAATGTGACCTGGACTGAGACCAGATACTGAATGATGGAAAGTTATTCAACTGAAAGGGCATCAGAGCTGTGCCTGAGTATTGCCCTTGCTCTTTGGTCTATCAGTAACACAAAATATCCCCCAAAATATAGATTCAATTCACTTTACAGTATATTCTGAAGCACTTTGAGATGTCTCGAAGACATGATAAGGCACTATATCAAATGCAAGGATTATTATTAGTAGTTGTAATAGCCATTCTTCAGGATCAGTCTCAAGAGTATCTTCACCTTGTGCCTTCTCTTCCTGCTTTCAAAACTCTTTTCAACTCCCAACGACACAAAACTTTCACTATCAGCAGGGCATTTAGCAGCTATCTGGGTTGTAGAACCTGATGTTTTTAAAAGCTTTTATAATTATCCATTCAATGTCAGTTTAACTATAACAGCTTTTAATAATGTGAGCTAAAATATAGTAATGTGAGCTAAATGTAATCCCGCAAAATAGTAGGTGTATGTGCATCCTGCACCAACTTTGTGTATAACAGAATCTGGCATTGTAGTTTTTGAGTCAAATAGTCAAATGGTTTGTTTGGGTGTATTTTGGTGCTCAGAAATAATCTGACTTGAGGTGAGGTAAGAGAGCTATAGTAATTGAGTAAACTTAATGCTTTGTTTAGCACTTTCTCTTCTATCAATCTCACCCCCCCCCCCACACACACACATTGTGTTCCAATGCTAGATCCAGTCCTTGATCAACTTCCATCTCCAGAACACTGTTTACTTACACCTCTACCTCACCCAACAGCTGAAACCCTCATCCATACTTTCAGCACCCTGAAGCTAGACTGCTTCAATTCTCTCCTTTCTGTCCTCTCCAACTCCATTCCCAAGCTTCAGTTCATCCCAAACTCTGTAGCCTGTTCTTTCCTGTACCCAGCTCCACACATTAATTATCGCATTTTTTTCCAGGCTCCACTGACTCTCATTGCCCCAAGAAATGGACTTCAAAATCCACATCTTGATCTTCAAATCTTTTCACTAACTTGGCCTTTCCACCCTTTACAAACTCGTCAGTGCTCTGTGGTCTCTTGTTTATCACTCACTCACTCACTCACTCACTCACTCACTCACTCACTCACTCACTCACTCACTCACTCACTCACTCACTCACTCACTCACTCACTCACTCACTCACTCACTCACTCACTCACTCACTCACTCACTCACTCACTCACTCACTCACTCACTCACTCACTCACTCACTCACTCTGTCCCACCATCAGTACCTCAACTTTCCGCTCGTGGCTCTGATCTTCTGGAATTGTCTCAGAATCTGTTTACTTTGCGCCTTCTCTTCCTGCCTTCAAAACACTCTAAAAATGTAGAGGTTGTTGAACACTCTTTGTTCAATAACCTCAAAGCCCTGCACCTCTCCCCCATCCTCGATGGCCCCCATTGTCTTTGTTAAGCACTTCAAGGTCAGAAAAAAATACACACACATTCTACTCCAGGATCTTCAAGGTCAATGCTTCACGATGTGGTTCTCCCAGTGGCCTAAAGGTCCCATCTTGGGCCACAGCGACCAGAAAGTTTGTACTTGCTGTACTATCGGCTTCGCCTTCTTGTTTCTGTAGCTATGATGTGTTTACCAAACGTTTCGGCTGTCTAGGAAGGAGTCCAAGAGAAACTGCATCAATATAGACATTGTATTCTATTTAGCCTATTGTATTATTCTATATTATAGAGAGGTGTATTGTTAAAAACAGATTTCAAACAGTGAACATCTGAACAATATCATCTGTGGCATTTTACAGCTTCTGAATTTGCCACATTCCTCACTTTGAAATCTAATGTTGAACACTTAAGATAATTCATCTGAAACTGTTTAGCTTTAACCTGTGCCTCGTCCAGCTGTGGCTTAACCAATTGAGCCATTGGGAAGCAGGGCCTAAGATTCTGTAACAATGTGCTTCAGTACGACTCTCTCAGCGAGATGTTGGAACTGGTTTAGGAGCTTCTCATTGGTGAGAGAGGCTTGTAAAAAAGTGTACCATATTCACAGAAATACTGCAGTAATAGGGAAATAATGTAATATTTTTGCTGAACATTTTCTCCTCTCATTTGTTACCTGACTCTGTGCGTGTGTGATATATGTGAGGGTGTGGTGGTGTATGTGGGAGTGACTCATTTTATTTACCAAAATTTATACCATACCTCTGAGCTCTGTTTGTTACATGCAATAGTTGAATGCCCTTTACTACATTATAACAATAATAATAATCCTTGCATTTGATATAGCGCTTTTCACGTCGGGAGGACGTCCCACAGCGCTTCACAGAACACACTGTAAAGTGAACTGACTGTATATTTGTGGGCGAACGCGGCAGCCAATTGCGCACAGCAATGTCCCACAAACAGTCGTAGATTAAAAATGACCAATTTATGATTGTTTTTGGTTTTGGAGGGATTATTATTAGGCTCTGTGTGGAGTAAGGAACCTTGCCCAAGGTTTCGCCCTCTGCCTGGAATTGAACTCAGGTCTCTCACTTGCAAAGCGAGTGCTCTAACCACTGAGCTACAGGACTCCAAACATTTTCCTTCTCTAAGCATTACTGAAAAGCAAATGATTCCGACACTATAACCACTATGATCTCTGGGATCAGAATAGAAAACAAATGTCATGTTTCTGAGTAGATTGTGTGTATTTTTTTCAAATGGCACCTGCAGGATCAGCCATTTAGAACAAAAAGCCTTAGACATGGAACAATGTGATATGCACAGTCAGTATCTGAGGACTAAGGACCAACCCAGTCTGCCTGTTACTGTATTTTGTTTTGTTCTGCTGAGGATGGGTAGATATGTAGATACCGTTGCGTTACTAAAATGCACATTGAGTCCTCTTTCTCCTCTGGGGGTATGTGTATGTTTTAAAAAGTCTAGCTTGGAACTAAAGATGGTGAAAGTAGCAGATTTTTCCATGGTGTGTGTGTCTTCCCATGATGCGTGTGTGCGTGCCTTCTTCCCATGATGCGTGTGTGCGTGCCTTCTTCCCATGATGCGTGTGTGCGTGCCTTCTTCCCATGATGCGTGTGTGCGTGCCTTCTTCCCATGATGCGTGTGTGCGTGCCTTCTTCCCATGATGCGTGTGTGTGTGCCTTCTTCCCATGATGCGTGTGTGTGTGTGCCTTCTTCCCATGATGCGTGTGTGTGTGCCTTCTTCCCATGATGCGTGTGTGAGACGGACAGAGGGGTCCCTGCACACTGTCTTGAACAGATTGTGCTGCTTTGCTTGACGTCCAGTCTTGCATGTGTTGACGCTGGTGTCTACTCTCTGGTTTGTGAAAGGTGGAAGTGTTTTTTCTGCGGGTTTGGGTGTGAACTCTGAGCTGCTTCTTTCACCCTCTTAAACCTCAAGTTGTAACACATTTTTTATTTAAAAAAAGTCTCTGTAAGAGTCTTGCAAATGTAATATTTTAGTGAAGACAGGCATAGTTTTGTTTAGGTAGCTTGATATTTTTGAGAATTATATTTCCTGTGTCAAATTGCATCCTATACACAAGATCTGTTTGTGGGCTTTGCTCATTATTCAGCTTCTGTGGTGTTGGTCAGTGTTCTGAGGAGATGAGTGCCATCTATCTGTTTCTCTATGTGAAAGTTGTATGGTTACCATGTGGAGGAGCGGCCAACAATCCCCCAGATAGAATTGGACACTCACGTCATGGCTGTTTATGGGACAATTGTTTGCCTACAAATACAGTCACAACACTTCACAGTAAAAAGCATTCTGAGATGTCTCGCCGATGTTCGAATGCAAGGATTAGATTACAAGTCAACCCCATGACCTGTTTTCACTTCCATCAGAAATGATTGTGAAACTGGGACCAAAATTTTAATGATGTAGAATTATCCGTTTGCATCAGCAAAATGCTCATTCAATAACAGCTTGTTGTTCATCTGGATAGTGTCTCAGAGCACTTATTCTCTAAACCATGGGCATGTCTTGTGAAAGGGGTGAACTTGTTTGGTTTTAAAGTATAATTGGATACGATGATTTGTGGTTATAAATATGGGCACTGGCTTGTTAACTATTTAGTTCTCAACACCTTTTTACACTAGTGACATTCAGCAAGATGGATGTGTAACCGTATATCTGCCTTCGCTAAGCTACAGGTGGAGTCCTATAGCTCAGTGGTTAGAGCACTCACCTCACAAGCGAGAGGATCCAGGTTCGATTCCCGGGGCAGGGCGAAACGTTGGGCAAGTTTCCTTACTCCACACGCCTTTGTTCACCGAGCAGTAAGTAGGAACCCGGTTGTTAGTCGATTGGAGGATCACTTTGCTGGAGGTAATAATTCCTTCAAAAAAAAATGGTCACTCAATCCACGACTGTTTGTGGGACACTACTGTGCACAATTGGCTGCCGGGTTTCGCCCACAATATATAGTCAATTCATATTATAGTATATTCAGCAATGCGTTTTGAGACATCTTGAAGACGTGATAAGGCGCTATATCAAATGCAAGTATTATTATTTGCCATTAACTGGTAACTGGTTGTTTGGCAGGTGCCAGGGGTGCTGGACCAAGCTGCTCTTTCCTTTGAGGAGTGTCTGAGACTTCTGGAAGAAACTTTCCCTTTTGGTGAGGATTATGAGGTGAGAAACGTTGATTAGTTTTGCATGGGGCAGTGTCGTGCATTTAAACTTACATCACATCAAGATATTCTCAAAGTATACCTGAACATGAAATTAAATAACCACAATAGAATACATTTCTATAGCGCCTTTCACATCGGGAGGACTTCCAAAAGCGCTGGATGGTCAAGGATTTGGACCCGAGAAGAGGCTTGGGATCAGGAGGGGTGGAGGGCAGAGAGGGTAGGGGTAGCGGGGTGACTGAAGGCGAGTTGCAGAGGAGAGTCTTGAGACGTGCTTGAAGGAGGCAAGGGAGGGAGCAAAGCAAAAAGACTGTGGGATGGAGTTCCATAGAGTGGAGGCAGTGAGGCTGAAGATATAACAACAACAACAAAAAGATTACATTTGTATAGCATCTTTCACGTCGGGAGGACGACCCAAGGCGCTGCAGTGTCCTGGCTACCTGGAAGTTGGCCATTTTTTTTTTAGCATGCAAAAAGCTGCCTGACATTTTAAAGCAACTTGGCTTTCTGCCCACGAGCAGTGAATGGGGAATAGCAGGTTGGGATTTTATGGGTCCCATTTACCGTGTTATATTGGGGCTCCACTATGAACTCTGGGTGTATATAATGCACTTCAGTCTTAAATTACTGATGGATGGTCTTAGCCTTAAGACCATGGCTGCACTGCAAGAGTAATAACTACATCATAATCAGTCATAAATGACATTTGCCTACAAAGTGCATAGTCACTACACTTCACATCCTGTGAAGCGTTTGGAGACATCCTCTTGACGTGAAAAATTGACATGAAATGCAACTAATACTATTTATCAAATAATTACTGGAGATGCATATTATAATTCCTTGGTATTCTTTTAATAATTAAATGGAGTCCTGTAGCTTAATGGTTAGAGGCCTCACAAACGAGAGGACCCAGGTTTGTTTCCTGGGCGGGGTGAAACCTTAGGCAAGTTTCTTTACTCCACATGCCTCCGTTTATCTAGCAGTAAGTAGGAACCTGGTTGTTAGTGGATTGCCGGAGCATTTTTCCAGGGGTAATCTCCTTAAAAAAAAAAATTTGAATAATAAAATGTGGTCACTCAATCCATGACTGTTTGTTTGTGGGACCTGCTGTGCGCATTTGGCTGCCGTGTTTCACCCATAAAAATATACAGTCAATTAACTTTACATTATATGTGAAGCACTTTGAAACGTCTCAACTATGTGATAAGGCGCTGTATCAAATGCAAGGATTATTGTTATTAAATGCCAATAGTGTACACCAGGTTCACCTAAATTTTACCTTTGGAAAAGCTTGTGTTACCCAGAAACAGATGGATAATTCTTGCATTTCTTTGATATAGCGCCTTATCATGTCTTCAGGACTTCTCAAAGTGCTTCACAGAATATACTGCAAAGTGAATTGGCGGTATGTTTTGTGGGTGAAATGCGGCAGCCAATTAAGCACAGCAGTGTCCCACAAACAGTCGTGGATTAAGTGACCAATTTTTTTTTGAAGGAATTATTATCCCTGGAAAAACAATCCACCAATTGACTAACAACCGGGTTCCTACTTACTGCTAGGTAAACAGAGTGTGGAATAAGGAAACTTGTCCAACATTTTGCCCTGCCGGGAATCAAACCCAGGTCTCTTGCTTACGAGGCAAGAGCTCTAACCACTGAGCTACAGGACTCCACTAGTCATAAGATATAATAATGTGATCTTATGGCTGTGCTGTGTGTGACTGCAGAGCCCATCCAGTGCCTCGAGAGCACCATCTCCTGCTGTCCTTGTAACTCCACAGAAGTTATAAGAATCTCACCACTGACCCCAGACCTAGTGTGTCCCACACAGCAATGGTTCTGTGCCTCGTGCGTTATCCTGTGTCAGAATGCAGCAGTTTATTGCTGGACATGTCACTAGATCGACTTTCCCGTGTGTTGTTAACAGTTTCCAGCAGCAGTGTCTCCGGAGCTGAATGAGGCTTTAGACAGTGCTCTGCCTGGCACCAACGATACCGTCAATAGCACTTCACAGACTGCTGTTCTTCCACCTGAGCTGCCAAGTCCAGAGTCTCCTTTAGACTTAGAGCAGCAATGGCAGGACCTTCTGTCTCTCATGGAGCTACAGGTGAGCAGGTCTACATGGGTCAGCTTTTGGCATGTAGTGATGTGTGGCAACATGACTCCTGATTTTAGCTTACTTTAGTCCCTCTATGTATCTATCTGTATACATGGACAGTATATGTATTATGCGTATATTTAAGAGATTAAAGAAAATCTCAGTCTTCACACAAGTTCTTCCTTATGTTAAATCTACGTCTACTGTGAAATGTAATTTTTCCAAATAGACTTGGAAAGGGATTACTGAGTGAATTATTAGAAGAATCCTGAATTTGTAAAGTGTTTGCTTAGTTGGTAGTGCTCTGGGCAAGAGGTTGTGGGTTTGAAACCCATACCAGCACTTGAGCCCATATTCCCGGCTGACAATACCAGAGAAGCATTACATTGTTACAGTAAGTAGGAACCCGGTTGTTAGTCGATTGGCGGATCGCTTTTCCGGGATAATAATCCTTCAAAAGCAAAACAAAAAAATAATAGTTTGGTCACTCAATCCACGGCTGTTTGTGGGACACTGCTGTGCGCAATTGGCTGCCGCATTTCGCCCACAAAATACACAGTCAATTCGCTTTACAGTATATTCTGTGAAGAGCTTCGAGACGTCCAGAAGACGTGAAAAGCGCTATATCAAATGCAAAGATGATTATTATAGGTTTAGACCTATAGATGAGACGTTAATCCGAGTCCTGACTCTGTTTTGGTGGATCAGTTAAAAGATATTGTAACAGGTACAGCGTCAAATATCATGGGAAGCATGATTGGAGAGGCCATGGTCTAGGGCAGGACCAGAGAAGGTCACGAATGGGGCACATTTGGGTCTATGGGTGCCAGTTGGGGAGGTCAGGCAGTACTGCAGGCCATGGGATTGACCCAGCGAGGATCCTTCCATGTTCAGTCTAACATCCATCCAGCGAGGTGGAGGCACAACCTCTCAATTGGCTAATCCTGGTCGGAATTCCTACAAAAGGGAAGCCTCTGGCGATGCATCAGTGAACCTAGCGGGGTGTAAGAGGGGTTCTTATGCCCAGGACTAGTTAGTTAGTTAACAGGCAAGGGAGCTGCTGTTGACTGTAACTTGCACAAGACCCCCATGTCTGCTTTTCAATATGAATGTGACACTGTTATGAAGAAACAGGGAATTCTGGTGTTCTAGCCAAAATTCCTTCTTCATCTTAAAATGTATTAACAACTGTCTAAATATCATATAATCATAGAATATTACAGCACAGAATTTCTCCTCATCTGCCCTCTGATTCTTTTGCCAGTTATCTTAAATCTATGAGCCCTGTTACTGAACCAACTGCCAGTGGAAACAGGTTCTCCCTATCAAAACCCCTCATAATTTTGAACACCTCTATTAAATCTCCTCTTAACCTTCTCTGCTCTAAGGAGAACAATCCCAGCTTCTCTAGTCTCTCCACATAACTAATAATAATAATAATCCTTGCATTTGATATAGTGCTTTTCACGTCTTCTAAACGTCTCAAAGCACTTCACAGAATATGCCTTAAAGTAAATTGACTGTATATTTGTGGGCGAAACGAGGCAGCCAATTGCGCACAGCAGTGTCCCAAAAACAGTCGTGGATTGAAAATGACCAATTTATTATTGTTTTGGAGGGATTATTATTAAGTGTGTGGAGTAAGGAAATTTGCCCAAGGTTTCGCCCTGCCTCCCTCATCCCTGATAACATTCTGTTAAATCTTCTCTGCACCCTCTCCAAGGCCTTGATATCCTTCCTAAATTGTGGTGCCCAGAATTGGACACAGCTGAGGCCTGACCAGTGACTTATAAATGGATAGCAGAACTTCCTCGCTTTTGTACATATGATTGCTCAAGACACTGTTTCTGGCACAGTTGTGGTGTTTGCCTTCATAGTCTCTGTGCTTTAGAGTAATTTATTACGTGAAGCACTATGAGATATTTTCATGTGATAATAATAATCCTTGCATTTGATATAGCGCTTTTCACGTCGGGAGGACGTCCCAAAGCGCTTCACAGAACACACTGTAAAGTGAATTGACTGTATATTTGTGGGTGAACGCGGCAGCCAATTGCGCACAGCAATGTCCCACAAACAGTTGTAGATTGAAAATGACCAATTTATTATTATTTTTGGTTTTGGAGGGATAAGGCACTGCATCAAATTGAAGTGAATTTTTATAAAGTTACACTTGTCCTGGACAGTTTAATGGTGCACTAGCATTCTGTGCTAGAGCATGGTGAGATACAGCGTGCTCCTGTTCACTGATCACCTCGAGCCTTTCTCATGCATTTGCTATCAGCTAGCTGTAGCGTAACATTGGTAGAAGGCACAGGGAAGGGTTGGAGGTGATGGGGAGACTGCCACCAGATTTCTAGCTATGTGTACGGTTAACTCTCATACATTTCTGTTTGCAGGATATGGAAGTAATAAATAGTGCTGCAACTTCCTACAATTCCAGTGCTAGTTCTCACGGTAGTGATGACTTGGCTACAAACTACACCCAACCTCAAACTACAGCTACAGCCATCAATCAAAATGTAAGTCTCCACGATGCCACCCTGCCTCAATGCGCTGCTGACTTCCCCCTCTTCAATCCACATTTGGAGAATCCTTCTACAGACAGTGGGCACAGCCTCCTTCGTTTGGCTTCCACCAATTCTACCAACTTTGACACGACCTTTGGCTCAACAAACTTCACAGGGATGCTCTTCCCTCCCCACATGAATGGAACCAGCAACGAAACTTCCAGTTCCAGTTTGCTCGACCCTCTGTCCAGTCTGTTGGATGAAGCCATGCTTGATGAAATAAGCTTGATGGACCTCGCTATGGAAGAAGGCTTTGATCCAATGGAGGCCTCGCAGATCGAAGAAGAACTAGATTCTGACTCTGGACTTTCTCTTGATTCTAGCCGGAGCCCCATATCTCCGAGCAGCTCTGAATCCTCTTCCTCTTCCTTGTTTTACGAGGAGGGAGCAGTGGGATACAGCTCCGAATCGGAATCCAATGACTCTGAAGAGGCTGATGGAGTGATTGAAGGAGCGGTTGGGGGTTATCAGCCTGAATACAGCAAGTTTTGCCGCATGAGTTACCAGGACCCAAGCCATTTCCACTCACTTCCTTTCTTAGAGCAAATCAACCACAATCACACATACAACCTTCCCCCAGGGGCACTCTTCTCGAATCAATATCAGCAGCCTGGGCCCGGGAAGAAAATGCACCTGAAGGAGAAGCCGGCATCTCACATAGACGTGCATTTGGGCCGTGATGAGCGCAGGGCTCAGACCTTGAAGATCCCATTCACCAATGACAAGATCATCAACTTGCCTGTTGATGAGTTCAATGAGCTTTTGTCCAAGCACCACCTGACTGAAGCTCAGCTGACCTTGATCCGTGACATTAGGCGGCGAGGCAAGAACAAGCTGGCAGCTCAAAACTGCCGCAAGAGAAAGCTGGACACCATCGTTCACCTGGATCAGGAGGTGGAGCACCTGAATAGACAAAAGACCAAGCTCTTAAAGGAGAAGGTGGAATTTGTCAAGTCGCTGCGTCAGATGAAGCAGAAACTGCAGGACCTTTACCAGCAGGTGTTTGACAGCCTGCGGGATGAACACGGGCGACCTTATTCGCCAACACAGTACGCCCTGCAGTACGCGAATGATGGGAGCGTGCTAGTCATGCCTCGTGCCCTCGCCACTCAGCGAGTTAGGCCAGACAAGAAGAATAAGAAAAAGTGAAAGGAGGGGGCCAGGCAACCAAGGATCTAGGTTTAAAAATGAACTCAGACACTGTGGGGCAGAGCTTCCCAGCTGCTGCTAAACTTTAAATGACTGACACACTTGCACCTTCTCATTGAAAATATCTCGCGATTCTGGTGGCTGCGGGTCAGTTTGGATGGAACATGTGCCGGACTGATGGTGACTGAGCTTTATATTAAGTTGATAGTTTTGACCACGTTTAGAGTGGGAGCACCTGTTGGTCCTCTAGTGTAATAAAAACCAGAGGCAATGTTGTGGGTCTGGTCTGTAGGACAGGAGTTGAGACGCAGGTTGAGCACTGGAGTCTTTATGGTTCAGAATCTCCCACACTGCTTCGCTTGGGATACAAAACTGACTTTCAAGAGCCGCACATCATGCAGTTTACCAACCGCAAACCAAAAGCTGAATCGCTTTTAGTGGCACATCAATTCTCCCTTTTTTTTAAAAAAAAAGCAACAAAAAAATTTTGGGTTTTGTTTTTAACAATCTGCAAAATGAAGCTGTTCACAACTACTTTTTTTTTAGTTAAGTAATTTCTAAATAAAAAAAAATTACCGTACATATTTTCAAAAGTAGGTGGACAGTTATTTGGTTAGCAAAGCAAAGAGGATTGGAATATCTCCGTCTTGGAATATTAAAGGAAAAGCGCCAGTCTGGTAAACCGTCTTGGTTAAAGAGGATTGTTTAACAATTGAACCAAATTTGTGCCCTATCCCAAAGGTACTAATCTCTTCCATAGTTGGTGTCTTTTTGAAGTCCATTGAATGTCAGCTGTGTATAGAAACTAAGTTTCACATTCCCCGCTTCTCGTGAAATCTTACATGGAGTTTTGTTTGGGAAGAGTTGTACCCACATTGCCGGAAACCTGGCTCTGGCTGATGTGAGGACGGGTGTACACACCTCTGCATAGTGTCCAGCTGACAGCAGGAGTTCTCGGGGAGTCTGGCACTGGCCAGGCATTAGTGGTCTTATCTGAGATGGACAAGTAATGAGCTGCGTTTTGAGAGCAGCTCTGGCCGTGACGGAGTGCACTCCTTCCCGGTGCTGCCAAAGAGCAGAGAATAGAGGAACTGAGACAGTTGATACTGTGAAATATAACTGGCCGCGGGGCTGTGGATTGTGGAGTTAGCCAGGTTCCTTTTCTAGATGTCTTCTGGTTCTGTAAAGCTGATCATTGCTGTGTGGGAAGGTAACTTGGAGGAGGATAGCTTGTGGGGAGGGCTTGAGGGTTTCTGTGGGGGGTAGATTAAGGAGTGGTCTGTACCGGTACATCTCTTAACTTGGCTACTAGGAAGGCCCGGGATGGCAGCCTTTCCTCAGGTGAGCCCAGCTGGAGATTGTGTGGGGAGAGAACAGGTGCTTTCCAACGTGCAGATCATGTTACTGTGGGAGGGGCGAGGTGGGGGTGGCGGGTAGGGGCACGTAGGAGAGCAGATATTCTGATCCCAGGCCTGTGTGTCTGTGTCGTTGTGCAGTAGATGGTTCTGACCTTGTTGTTGGTGTTCCTCCACTGCTGAGATCAGGAATCTACCTCACTGAGAACAGAGGCCAGGAGGTAACTGTGTGTGTTTAACTGGTTTAAATGGTCGGGCCCTATCTCTGAATTGTGCTAGATTTGCTAAATATGTTCGACTTTGTTTTAAAAACTCTTGAATTTTTCTACAATAATTGCATAAAAGCTCGGGCGCAAAAGCTTCAATTGGCTGAGATTTATTGCGGAATATATAGACAGTGGAGCGCAGGCCATATCAGGCCAATGCTGGACTGATGGTGTTCCTGGTAATGAGGCTATTCTCTAGCCTTAGATCTTTGTAACCTAACCTATGTAATATTCAATCATCACTGTGGCTCTGGTCTGTAGCACTAACCTAGAGACTGCAGGGAAACTGAAGCTTTAAGCTGAGATTGCTCCTGGAGTCGCTGGGAACACTCAGCGGGTCAGGCAGCATCTATGGAGAGGAAAGCGAGTTAACGTTTTAGATTTCTGACGAAAGGTCATTGACCTGAAATGTGAACTCACTTTCCTCTCTCCATAGACGCTGCCTGACCTGCTGTGCGTTCCCGGCCACTTCTGTTTTTATTTCAGATTTCCGGCATCTGCAGTATTTTGCCTTTTGCTCCTGGAGGTTCTATATTGACAGGCAAGTTGCAGTAATATGCATGCAAAGGAAAACACTTTTAAATTCACAATTTTTTTAGGCATCCACCCCCTCCAGGTTTAGAATTGAGATGGAGGTGAATTTTTTGAAGCTGTAATAAAGGACAGCTCTGATGTTTGAGGTCTTTGTCTCGTCCTGCAAATGGCCTGACAACCTCAAACTTTGTGGTTCTTGTGAAACTTCATACACCTTGTTGTCAGCTGCAGTTGATAGTTTCTTTTATAATAATGATAATAATCCTTGCATTTAATATAGCGCCTTATCACATCTACGAGACGTCTCAAAGCGCCTCACAGAATATACTGTAAAGTGAATTGACTGTATATTTTGTGGGTGAAACGCAGCAGACAATTTTCTTGACATTGAGATGTTTGGATATTTTGCACATTCAACAGCAATCGCTTCATTCTCTTCCCTCCCTGCTCCATCTTTACCATAGCCGACGTAGCTCGGTTATTGATGTGTTGAGGCTCCAGTGCTGAAGGTGCCTTGAGGTGATGAACCTTTGCTCCAAAGCACTTCACTGAGATATTACCACGTCTGCTGCAATCCAGCCACTAGATTCTGCTGAAATTATTACTCTGATCTCTTGACGTTTTGGGGAAAATGTCGGTGTCTCCTGTCACTTTGGGGAGGAAAGGCAAGTCGTGTGCAGGGAGGGGAGTCTTGTAAAGCTATGTGGAACCATTAACTACTGAGTGGACTGTCTCCAGAGGACATTCCCAATACTGTAAACCTGCTGCTCGCTGTTCTACATGCTTGACAGGTGCTTTCCCCTATGTTGCTCACTGCAATCACATTTGTACATTGCAGTGTTAATCAAAATCTTTGTTTCAAATCTCCCAACTCCTCACCTGAAGGTGTGTACGGAGGTGGGGGGTGGAGGGGGGGGCGATTCAATTCCTTAGACCTGGCACTCCTTCTGAACCAGCCATTTGTCACATGAACTGCACTGGTGAGATTTTTGGAAGAAAAGCCGAGTTTGTGTGGCCTGCCCACAGCTCTCCTCTGAGCTATCTATCTCTGTAATGAGACTGTACAGAAATATCTATACATAACTGCACTCAGTCATACCGAGAATTAATGCAAAGGGGCTGCCCAATGCAGATGATTTGCTTGCCTGCTGTGAAGCTTGAGGTGAAGAGTGATAACTCTGTACTTTATGTACTCTCCCATGTTGCTGAGTCTTACTGCTTATCTTCCAAAGTATCTGAACTGCAGGGAATAAATATGCTCCTATAGCACCGAGGGGTAAAGCTGCTTTCGATGCTGAACCTTCTCATTCAGTAGTGGATGTATACTTTCTCTTATTGGCTGGAGATGTGTCCAAACCTCATTGCTTGGATCCAAAAGTAATTGATCATGAGACTGAGTTCTCCACACACGTTGACACAGTTTTGAATCAGCACCTGGTCACAGTGTGTGGTCAGCCTGTGTGGAGTAGAAACACCTCGGGCTGGTTAGGACGAATGGCCTGTATCGGGGGCGTCATGTCATTGTACACTTCCAGGTCTCGGATGTTATGTATTATTTTCAGGCCTTGTCTGGGGTCCCCAGGATTGAAGTCTCTAACAAGACGTTTTCATCTTCTCTCAGAACTGGCAACTACAGCCCCAAATTAAACTAGACAGAGAACTCTGTCTCATGATCAGTTACTTTTAGGATCACATCTCATCACACTCGTAAAGAAAGGCAGCCGAGAAGTGAAGCTTCTCTGAGAAGTGAAGCTGCTTGCTTCTAGCTCTTTACGACTGGGAAATAGCCAACGTCTGTGAAACACAGCAACGATGCTCTGACTCTTTAAAGGGCCATTGCCTGGTTTGGGTGGGAGAGGAATTAAAAACTGACCATTTCTGTGCGGTGACATCAAAGGCCAGCGACTGGTCGATGCATACCAATCCTGCTTCACGTCTTCACAAAGACTTCAAGGTTGGTTTAAACTCCTAGCCCAGGGTTTCAAACCAGTGAAACAGCGGGTTCGAACTTTGTCTGCTCTGTATTGTGATAGCTGCCGAAATTAGCAGTTGAAGCTTCTGGGCTGTAGTAGAGGAAAATCAGTCAGCATATTCTAGTGCCTCCGCCTCCTGCTTAAGACTGTGCTGGAGGTGTTTGTATGAGGATGTGCATCTTATGTGACACCCTCCATATTTGAATAGCCTGGAAATTTGCCCTGTAATGACACACGATTGGATACCTTGGTGATGTTCTGTTGGGAATCATCCTTCAGAAAGGGGGGGGGGGAGGAAGAGAGAAAAAGTTGGCAACAAACACCTTGGTTAAGAGTGCTGTATTTATGTTGAACTGTTTCTATAAACGATCAATGTTTTGTTCCAATGTAACTAGGTGTCGCATTGCATTGATCTCCGTGCCTGCCAGTTGCTCTGTATCAATGTCATTCATTAAAAATGTGCTCAAAAGAGATGTCGGAGTAGAGCATTGTACATCATACTTTATTCTTTTACTGTGTGTAACCTCACGACTTTCCGATCATCTTCAGCTGAACCCGTTGTAATCTCTTCCATTGTCTTTTGGGTTTTGTATATATTTGTGGAAGTTCTGTAAGACTGAAGAGCTTTACTGTCTGTCCATTTTAGTGTTTGTTTTCTGTCAGATTTGTGTAGATATTTAATTGTTGCCTGGGAGGGGGGGGAAAGAGAAGGGTCTCTTCAAAACCTGTTGTATATTTTTCTTTACGTGGATATTTACAGCAAACCAGGATTGTTTAGAGGGGCAGGAAATGCAATAAATTAGTTATATTTTCACATCCTGTGTTAATATTGTTTTCCTTAAGTCTTAATATTCTGCTGAACCAATGCTGAGAGAGAGCTGCTGGATCATCCTGTCCCTGGAGTAGGGGCATTTTATTTATAACTGGAAAATGCTTCAGATCTTTGGTACAGACTGCACTTCCTTCATTTGTGGCTTTGTTAGCAATGACGTTTGAGGAAGGGTGAGATGAGACTTTCTCAATTACGGCTGTGATTGTGGCTGTACATCTAATTAACTCATTGACTATTGATAACATGAACAGTTAACAAGTTATAACTTTCCCAGTTGATTGGGGTGAGGAAACCCAGGTGTAGGTGTGATGCCGTGTTAAGTTAGGGAAAGCAAGGATGACGGTCTCTCGACTGCAGCGGCAAAACATAGCAGCGGTTACTTTTTCTTCTACTTCAGTAATTCTCACAGAACAGAAATGCTTCAGGACATGTCGTCTTTACGGAAGATTTCCTTTAGTCTCGTTCTCCAAAATGGAGGCTGCCTTGTGCTGCTTGGGGCACTTCCACCACGTAGTTGGAGCGAAAGGAAAGGGATCGAGTGGATCCTAAGTCAAGAGTTGACAACCATAAACTTGCTGTTTAAAAGCATTCTTCTTTATATACCGGTTGCCCTTTGTATCCGAAGATTATGGGTGGGTGAAACTTTATGGATAGGTGATTATTTTTTTCTTTAGAGAGTGTAGAAGCTGCTGTCCACACAACAATCGCACTCGTAGGATAGCGAGCAGTGTAACCTGGTGTCAGGGAATATCCAAGAAAACCAGACCACTTGCTAACCACCACATAGGCAGAAAGCATTACCTCTGAGAAGCTAATCGACTAAGAACCGGGTTCCTACTTACTGCTGGATAAACAGAGAGAAATTTAAGGTTTCCTCCATCTGGACCCTCTCGCTTGTGTAACCACTACACAATGTGACTCCTTTATGTACACAAATGTTAACATCAAAATATTGTTTTTTTTATCAGCTGCGTGCAAGTGACAGGTGTACATTAAACATTTGATGTACATGAAACATTTCCTTACCAGAACACAAGTTAGTGTGAGCGTCTTAACAGCTACTAAGACAAACGGGCACCAAAAAGGTTTCAGTAACGTAAAATATTTTAAAACATCAGCCCTAAATGCATGACATTAGAGTTGGTAAACAAATTATTTAAGAACACCACCAGAGCTTAATCACTTATTATTTAACTACAAAACTGTACAAATGATGTGGTCCTTTAACCTGCAGCGCCCGAGATTCAGGTCGGCCAATTTTATAATAGTTTTTATGGTGATGTGCAGTACTACAGGTCATAAAGTAATATATAAATAATGCTACACAACTGCCTTTTATCCTTCAATTGCTTTCTTCATGAAATAGTTATGTAATTATTTAACTCTGTGAACAACAATCTGCCTGAGTGGGTGGTCGCACATGTTTATCATTCTCTGCTAATTAAATCTGAACCGTTGTTCACCTTCCCTCTTTTTGGGCTTCACTCTGTGTCCCATTTTTGACACCAACGTATCTTAGATATTCAGTTTATTAACATCAAGAGCCAAACATCCTCAATAATTGACACTGGCTGTCCTCTGTGTCTGTAATTCTATATTAACTCCGTATGTCAGCCTGGCTCAGGCGATAACACTCCCACGTCTGAATCAAAAGGTCGTGGGTTCAAGCCTCACTGTTGGGACTTTGAAGAGAGACACTGAGATGCCATCTTTCGGACGAGATGTTAAAACAATGCCCCATCTGCTGGTTCAGGTAACGTGAAAAGATCCTGTGGCATCTACTCGAAGAGAAGAGTTTCTCCCTGTACCTGGCTAATGATCCTCCAAATAAAATTGGTCATTGCCTCAAGGCTGTTTTTAGGACATTGCTCTGGACAAATGGGCTGCTGCATTCACAGTCACTACACTTCACAGTGTAGCCTGAGAAGCACTTTGAGATGCAGCTTGGGGCAAATGAGATTGGTTCACCTCTGGTAACCCATCTCAACCAGAATGAGTTCCTCTCCCGATGATGCTGGTTGAAACTGGTGGGGGTTTTGACGCCTGTGTGTTGTAAACGCACGGACCCAGAGAACCTGATCCCCACTCTTACCCCAAACCTTTGCATTTGTTTCAGAATGTGTGTTCAGCTATCAATGTAATTCATTGTTTCCCCACTCCTACACTTGATCCACTTAAAACTTCCTCAGAAAAGTTGGGTCATGTTCAATTGCTTCCGCTGCATAGCCATTTCCCCCACAAGAGAGAAGTTTTGACCGTTGCCATTGTTCCATATTGCGACTTGTACTTTACCATTTATACAGTGCCACAGCAGACCCCCCACACCCCCCCCCCCGCCCCCCACCGCCCCATTCCTCCAGTCACTGCAAAGAAGTGAAGAATCAGCAATCATTACATTTGGTAAAAGATCCAGTCAGAGCAGTGAAGTGTTTTTTTTCCTGTTTTATTACACAATAATGTAGCCAGCCCGCTAAACACACACAGGTGGCCATGTTGCAGGAGCAGATCACAATACACAATAGGAATTCTACAAAACAGTTCCTTTAAAACTGACTAAAATCATCTTCTGCTAAAGACGATGCCTGATGATTAAATGAGAATCGGACAGAGGTGTTGCAATGTGTGAACACTGTGAAACCGAGCTAATACTTCAGTTTTCATGCTTGATTTCTTTCACAACGCAATATCTGGGGAGACAAATAGTCCCGGCCCACTCATCTCTTTCCAACATCAACAACAAATTGCATTTATTTAGCACCTTTCACAGTGAGAGTACGTCCCTAAGGTGCTGGACAGTCGGGGATTGCACCCCTGCTGGGGATTGGAATTGAGGGGTGGAGGGTAGTAGGGTGGATGGATTGCCCAGTCAAGGAGGAAGGTCTTGAGTCGGGCCTTGAAGAAGGCAAGGTTCGAAGCAGAGGCGTTCCAGAAGGCAATGGCAGAAAGGCTGAAGGCCCAACCACCAGAAGGGCAGCACGTATGCTAAAGAGGACCAAGAACAGCCCTGAGGAACGCCGCACGTGATGGTACAGGGGCTGAACACAAAAGCTGTTTGTGGATACAAAGTGGAGAAGGTGGGAAAGGTAAGAGTGAAACCAGGGGGAGGGGGAGTTTGGAGAAAGCAAGGACCCAGGCAGCAGAGCATTAGACTGGATTTGTGCCAGAGTGCATTCAGCAGCACACCTTTGACTTGAGGGAACGGAGGTGGCTGGTGTCCTGGGGAAACTTGCTGGAATAGGAGGCCGTGTGGAAGGTGATGGGGTAAAGGTAATAGAGAGTGAGTTGTGGATTAGAGTGATTGAGAAGATGAGGTCATTTTAGTATGGAGTCCCAGATGACTCTAGGGCACTGAGAGGGATTGAAGGGGGGATTTTTTTCGAGGGACAGTTGGAGATAGAAGTATGTTGGGTAGCAGGGAGTGGAACTGGGGAGTTAAGGGAGAAGCAATAATAGTCCGAGATGGCTATTAATGATGATGCCTGAAAGGGTGAGGCCCCAGGTAGTCACCAGGTCATTCCAGAGTAACAAAAACCATAATTGTTCTCACTCAGTAACAGCTACCGAATGAACACTGTCAAATCAATATATTGTGTGTTAATGTTCGCAGAGAACAGTATTATACAAGTGCTGCCAAGAACCATACAAGGAAAAGCAGCAGTGTCCCCTTTTCAGGCTTACGTGGGCTATAATTTACAAGGACGCCATTAAACCATTTCTCCTTAAATCTGCAATTCTGGTAAAGTTCATCAACTATTACAGGAAAACAACTGCATTTGGTTTTCTAGGTTTGGCTGAAGGGAAACAATCTCTCTCTCTCTTTATAAACGTACTGAGGGTTGAGGCACCCAAATGCTCAACTTGCATTCAGGTATCTATCTGCTGTGCTGCTTATGTCGCGATGCATCTTGTATCTGCTCAGGGTGTCAATGACAAGTAGCAAACAGAGATTGGGGTGTGAGCCAGATTCAGGCTTTCACCTACTAGTCCAGAGCAAGAGCTTCACCACACTCCCTCCCTCTCCCTGCCCCTCCTTCCCTCCCATTTACGAAGCTGTTTTTATACCGAAACTAATGGAAGGATATTAGAACGCTTCATTTCCTAAAGTTTCCATCACAGGCTGAACACTCCCTCCCTCCCTCCCTCTCTCACTCCCCCTCCCTCTCTGCGTCACACACAGAGCAGTCGTTATTCTGCACCGCTGATCGGTGCTGCTCACACCTCGTGCTTCAATGTACAATTATTCTCACCTTGGAATGCATACCCGAACCACAGACCACTGCCTCAAAAGTAACGGCTGTACGTTATCAGAGCAATATTAGAAACCACCTTCAGGGAGATTATTTTGGACTAAGACTGAGTTGGTTTTCAGACGGGGTCCTTGCCTATTGCAGAGCCGGTTTAATAGTTTCTTCGGGGCTTTGCTGAAAATTGTATTACGCATTGGGGGAGAAGGGGGGGAAAAGAACCCGACAAATTCAATGAGTAACTCCCAGGAAATAATAATAATAATCCTGGCATTTGATACAGCGCCCCATCACGTCTTCGAGACGTCTCAAAGCGCTTCACAGGACTGTAACTGTAAAGTGGAATGTCTGTATATTTTTGGCATTTACTTGGTGAAAGTAACTTGCCCTGTTCCTGTATGGGAATAACTTGTCTCTATTCCTCACTAGTGCCCTGAGGCTGTGGAGGGGAGGGACGTGGGTTTACGGAGAAGAAGAGAAAAGGAAGGTTTTATCTGTAGCCAAAATTGCCCAGTAATATTAACAGAGAAAGGAGAGAATATTAGCATAAATTAAGTTAAGAAAAAAACACTAAATGCACAGAAAGCCACAAGAGGTCAATCAGCGGCTCTGGGGGTTACAGTGTTTGGACCAGTAGATTCCTCTGTTCCCCTGTAGCCTCAACTATCTGCTCGACTTCAAGCTGTTTGGAATACCAGCCACGTAATAATAGGTTCATTGTGTTCAGAGTGTGGGAAGCAGTCTGCTGAAGCCTTACAAAAAAGGATACGGCATCTCCCAACAACTGATAGATATTTGGAAGATTAAAGTACAAAATCCAGGTGCCCTTAAAGGGGTTGGAAGAAGATCTGATCCCACACGTCCCACCAATTTGTTTCAATCTGCAGTCTCTCTCAAGCCAGCAATCCTCCCCTTCAAAAGGGCTCCTCTGTGGAGCCCGGCTAACTGCTGCCACGTGAAGAGAGATATCCTCAATGGACACCAGACATAGCATTCCCTGAATGCATCTGGTACTCGGTCTCAAAGATCAATCTGGGATCGGCGTTAACTTTGCAGTGTGAATCCCACTTCCCACAAAATGCCAGTCCATTGGCTTCTACCCGGCAGCAGTTAGAGACAGACCTGCTCTCCCGAGAGAAACTGAGTTGGAGCTACAAACCACTGTGGGTCAAGTGGCAGCTACTTAACAATATTTTTTTCCTATAAGCTCCTTCCCCCTTTAAGAGCTTAAATCCTACACTACAGCCTAAGGTAACATTGTTTACGATTCACCAGATTATGTCAGCGTTATCCAAAATCTTTTTTTTAGAAAAAAAGAAATAAAACCTGGAAAGAAACATGCTGCTTAAAAAACACGATCTGAAAGAATGATATGGGCTCGAGAAAGTCTTGAGAAAGTTACACCCAATCAGTGAACTATACATCTGTACAACTGCAAACCACCTTGTGAAAAGTTGGATTTCTTTTGTCTTGCAAATATCACCGGAGGTTGCTGATCCCCCCCTTGCACACAGTTACTTCTCCTCTTTCTTCTCTTCCTCTTCCGAAGGGTAAGAATGCCATGTCAGACGCTCCTCATAAAACGAGATGACGACTTGAGGACATTTGACATTCGCTTCTTTCGCTGGCACCAAATCGGCTTCGTCAGAGTTTTTCCTGTGGGTGAAAGAAAAAAACACCACAAAATAAATTCTCACGTGAATCGAGAACTTTCTCAAACTACGCAAACCTATCGGCAATACCGTTAAACTGTCCATTCGGCATTCCCGGGTCAGTCACAGCTCAGGTTAAATACAGGTTAAAGCTCTCTCTCCACTGTCCATTTCAGCATCTCATGGTCACGGGGCCAGAATAAGCTGCAAAGAAACACGAGACTCACCACTTCATGAGGAACATTAGTTCTCCACTGGAGTCTGTGGCACCAATGATGCGTTCTGGCTCCAATCCTCGGGCAAAGCCCCTCGGCTTCTCCTGCTACAAGAGAATCACATTCATTCATTAATGCGTCTGACTAGCACTGGTATCTAGCTAGACTGGACAGCATGGAAACAGGCCATTTAGTCCAACTAGTCAGTGTTGGTGTTTGTACTCCACACAACCTCACCCCATTAGTTACTTCTTCCCACACTTTCCCTTCAACTTCGAACAGTTAAAGTGGAGTCCTGCAGCTCAGTGGTTAGAGCACTCACCTCACAAGCGAGAGGACTTGTGTTTGGTTCCTGGCCGGGTGAAACGTTGAGCAAGTTTCCCTACTCCATACGCCTCTGTTTACCAACAATAAGTAGGAATCCAAACGCCTTTAAGTAAAGGAAATTGGGATTCACATCATCTCAGAGAAAAGTCCCCGTCCAGTGCGACAGGAAAGCAGCGTATTGTATCTGTGCTCTTGGTTGATCTCAACCTGAGCAGAAGTAGCTGTAACGGTATGGGGAATGTTGGAATGAGGAATTTGACCCAGTCTGGCCTTCAGGTGAGAGCGGGAATGCTCTGCTGCCACACACTGGCCTGGCTGATATATGAAGATTCGTCACAAGGGAAAAGTACCTTTACAGTTACTTGTTCAATTAAAATGCATCGGCCATCCATCAGTGCTCAACTGATCCCTGTCTTCTTGAGTGCTGTGTAACCTGTTTATATTAGTCCAAGGCCCTCTTGCAATAATAATAATCCTGGCATTTGATATAGCGCCTTATCACGTCGTTGAGACGTCTCAAAGCGCTTCACAGGCTATACTGAAAAATGTACTGTATATTTTGCGGGTGAAACGCAGTAGCCAATTGCACACAACGGTATCCCACAAACAGCCGTGGATTGAGTGACCAAATCGTAACTTTTTTTTAAAAAAAAGGGATTATTAACCCTGGAAAAGCGATCCACCAATTGACAAACCACCGGTTTCCTACTTACTCTTAGGTAAACAGAGGTGTGTGGAGTGAGGAAACTTGCCCAACATTTTGCCTGCCCGGGAATCGAACCTGGTTTGCAGGGCGAGTGCTCTAAGTTACAGGACTCCACAATTGCACACTTACAGTAACTGCCTTTCTTCCCACCCTCTCCTCGGGTAGTGCAGTGGGAGAGCTCACCTCCTCTTTCTTTTTCTTGCTTTTATTCTCCTCCGTCTCAACGTCAGACTCTGCTTTCCGTTTCGCCCCCTCGATCTTGTCTGCCCCATCGTGCGCTATTTTCTGCGACTGTAAAAATTCCGCAATCAGATCGGGGCAGTCGAGGTTCTCCTCGGGCTCCCACGTGTTGTCGTCACTGGAAGAGAATCACATCTGTAGGTTGCAAGGCACCAATGACTTCAAGAGCTGAGACGTTCAGAATGAATTAAGGGCCGACAGAGGTGAAGCATCCTTCAGACATGGCTTGTCCTGGAGTAGTGGGAACAGCCAGCATAGAAATAAACACCACAGGTAGAACACACACAGATTCCTTACAGTGTAGGGTGTTGGGGGCCTGTGAGCACAAAAGACTTTCACCGTGAGATTGGAAATGGGTCAGCAGCTCTCCTCACCTGAACAACTCTTTCCAGGTTTGTGAAACATTCTCCCCCACTCCCAAAATTTGGTTAGATGCATTTGTCTGTTTGTTAGATCAGTCCTTCTCTTGAACCAGGAAATTCACTAGGATTTCCTTCCCTTTTCTTTCCCTCACGACGACCTGGTCACTTTATGGAACCATCTCACCCAGATACCTCCCGGACATCCCCCGATGAAGTGGCCACGACTCCTAGATGCGGCCTCAGGAAGGGGGAATGCTGGGTGTGGTTGGCCCATTCCCAACAACGATCATTATCCATTCATTTCCCCCTAGCCCCCGAAAGCGTACGTATGGAAGCCCAATGAAGACAAGCTCAGGCTCCGCTGTGGTGTCCCATGGTTACATAATCCAGTGTCAAGCTGGAGTGGCCACCAGCTTCACAGCCTGAGTCAGCAGCTTCAGCAGGAGGGGAAAAGCAGCTTTGTAAGCAACATGACGCCAAGCCAAGTTAGTGTGGAGTGTCGCTACTTACTCCAAGAAGCCTTTCCACTTCAGGAGGTATTCCACCTTTCCTTTCACTATACGTCTGTCCAACACCTTCTCCACCACGTACTCCTCCTCCTCTTCGTCTAGAACCTCTTCCATTTTCTTCTTCGTTTGCTTTTTTCCCATCGCAGCGTCCAGCCTTAAATTGAGAAGTGCTGTAAAGAGATTATTTAAGTACATTTATCATTGGAAGCGCAGAAGCTGGGACCCTGTCAGTTGAGAGTCTGGCCTGAAATTCAATCTAGTCTTAGCCTGCAAGACCATTTTGCTTTAAAATTTTAAATTGTACAAAATTCTGTCTGAATTTGGAAGCTTTTCCTCCCCCCAACTGAGCCACACCCAATGATTTGTAGGTTTGACACCACCGTTTTGCTTTTGTATCCTATGATCTTAAAAGTTGTAAAATCTAGGATAATAATAATAATAGTCCTCGCATTTAATAGAGCGCCTTATGGCGTAGTTGAGACGTCCCAAAATCCGTCCCAGTAAAAGGTGTTACTTCACAACAATGAACACAGGAAGCAGTTAGCGCTCCAGGTCTGGGGGCAGATTCCCTCTACGGGAAGCACCTCTGCCGTACTGACTCGGCAATATAGTACGCTCAGTGTCACAAGAGCGAGGACAGGTTTGGTTGTCTGTCCTCTTTAACCTGCTTGAACACAAAGAGTATGTAGTGCAGGTTGTGCTGTAAAGGCGTGAAGCTGAATAAGTAGCTCAGGAAGCGACTGTACAACTTGCTGCACTGGACGTAAGGCAATGCTGCCAGTTTATGAGCAAACTCATTTATTTGGGTGGTTTTTGACCACTTCCATATTGCCAAGCCTCCGTCAAATTACTGAAACAAAAACAGAAGTGGCTGTGGGAACACTCCTCAGGCCAGGCATCACCTATGGAGAAAGGAAAGTGAGACGACGTTTCGGGTCCACGACCCTTCGTCAGGACTGGGGCATGTTTGGGAGGGAGAGGCTTTTAAGGGCTAACAGAGAGAGGGGGGAGGCAGGGCAAGGAAGACAAAGGGGAAAATGGGGTAGAAGACGGGGGTTGATGGGTTAAATAGGTGTTAATAATGCAAAGCAAAGAGGGGAAATATGGCAACAAAATAGGCCGACCAGAGAGAGAAAAGGTGTGCCTGGGACCCAGATGATGTGGTGATGGTCACAGAAGAGGGGGAGGGGAAAGGTGAGCTGTTATGGTTTGAAATTGTTGAAATCAATATTGAGGCCACAGGGCTGTAAGATCTCGAGCAGATAAATGAGGTGCTGTTCCTCGAGTTTGCGCTGTGGCTTCATTGGAACAGCGTAGGAGACCGTGGATGGAGAGGTCAGCGTGCGAGTGGGAGGGAGAGTTGAAGTGGACCTCTCCAATGAGCCACAGCGCACGCTCGAGGGACAGCACCTCACTTTCAGATTTCCTGCATCTGCAGTATTTTGCGTTCCGTCACATTACTTCCCCGGCCTACCTACCGCACACAAAAGAATTTGCATGTTGACACACAACGTCTCCAAGATCTTCGTGAGTAGTTTGCTGTCAGAGTACAAACCTTTTGGCGTTGCTTGGCAGTGCTGGCCGATCACCTGAGCTGGGGGTGAGAGCTGAGCGGGCATCGGGAGCAAACGATGACCAGAAGGGCAGTCTAAGGGGTAAAGTTTGAGACATATCTTGGAGCGGGAGCTGAGGGAGGGGGTGTCTGAGGGATTCGAGAGCAGGGACAGGGACAAAATGGCTGCAAATCCGCCCACCAGATAGCACAGGGGAGACTTGAAACAAGCCACTGTCTCCTGAGCGAATGGAGTGGCCGGGTCAGTGTGGTTGGAGGTCACAGAGGTAAGAGTGGGGTGAGACCACGGAGGACATCTGCCTTCAGTGCGGTGAGAGGATCTTTACAGGACAGCTTGTGATGTTCCAGCCACCTTGATGTCCTCGAGGTCCAGGTCCAATGCTGCAAGTACCAGGCTTACTTAGTACCAGCTGCTTAATCCAGGTCCTCAGGCGGGGGCCTTGGCAAACAGCCGTGCCCACTGTGAAGCCGTCTCAACCTCTCGGGTGCTCAGCGACAGGATCAAAACCAGCGTCCCGATGTGAGTCACCAGAGAGGGGTTAAAATGCAAGAAACCACATCCAAAAGGTCAGGCAGCGAAAGAAACTTCAAACCCAACACTTTTAAATCCAATCGATGTCACAGAGCTGTTTACCTCAGCGCACCCCACGGTCACAATCCCATGAGTTAAACAATGGAGAAGCTCCTCCTCGCAGATCCGTTGGCAACTGAATGTCCCAGAACACTCCCTGAAACAAACCCGTGGGCTTATACCAAACCACTCTTTCCCGGGTCTGAGCACTGAGGTGGTAGGTTATGGGCAGACTACTCACGGGGAGGTGAGGAGGGTACTATTATTATTATTATTATTATTATATATCGTAATAACCCTCCCTCATCTTTCACGCACAAACAGAACAGAATTTTCAAAGGGTGGAACGGCACATGACGCTTAATCACATACAGGGAATTCCCAGGATATACCAGACTGAGTGAAACATCGCTAAGAATTGGCCCCCAATTATAAACCGAGCTTCAGACACGCTGACAGACTGCAAAGTATAGACACGCGATGCAGCCCATTGTGTATAATAATAATACTAATGATAATCCTTGCATTTGATATAGCGCTTTTCACGAGGGGTCAAGTATTATTCTGTAAACTTGCTCCATAAACAGCCCAACAATACAAGCAACAGAATGAACAGGAATTCCTTTGAGTAAAGCAGATCGGATACAAGAGGTGAACTGTGTGTGTTTTAAACCTTTCAGTTATAAGTCGGTGTTATAACTCTAACCAATATACACCTCGAACTATGATACCAGACTCAACCTCAGCGGTATAAACACGACCTGGTTATGTGCCCCTAAATCACCAGAAATCAGCAACTCACAATATTAGACGGCTTCAGCTGCCAAACGTGAATTTTATATTTTACTTAAACAGCAAAATATTGCGGGAACCCGGACCGTCCCGACGAGGGTCGTGGACCCGAAACTTTGAATCACTTTCCTTGCTCCGTAGATGCTGCCCGACCTGCTGAGTGTTCCCGGACACTTCTGTTGATGTTTTATATTTTACTTAATGGCTTCCTATATTTATGTTAACTTGTCATTTCACCCAAACCTGCAGTTGGGCAATAGTTACACCCCCTGCAAAGTAATTTAGCAGCCATCTGCAGAATTTCCTTCATTTGTGACAATAGAAACAAAGGAGCAACATCACATATCAGCACACAAAAACAACTCCCAAGTGCGAATGTGTGTGTGCGCGCGGAGGGAACAATGAACGATTTCAGAACGACTGGGCGACTCTGCAATTGCATTTACAGGGAAACCACATGGGCTGTTTGTGGAACACTGTTGTGCACAAATTGGCTGCTGCATTCACCGACAAAATTCGCAGTCACTACTCATGACAGTAAATCAGGATACAATCTTTGATACAACCTCCTGATCTGACTTGAAAGGCACAATATGCAAGGATGATTATTATGTACTTAAAACAAAAACAAATTACATTTGTAGAGTACCTTTCATATCGCGAGGACATCCCAAGTGCTGGACAGTCAGGGATTTGGCCCGAGCTGGGGGTTGGGATCAGGAGGGGTGGAGGGCAGGGAGGGTGGCGGTAGGAATGGTGACCGAAAGCGCGGTCGAAGAGAAGGGTCTTGAAACAGGCCTCGAAGGATACAAGGGAGGGAGCGAGGCGAAGGGACTGTGTAATGGAGTTGGAAGGGGTGGGGGCAGAGAGGCTGAAGACCGATGGTACGGCAGGGCGGGCAGGGAGCACAGAGCAGGCTGGAGCTGAATGGATTGATTGATATATAATAATAATCCTTGCATTTGATATAGCACCTTATCAGGTCTTCGAGATGTCTCAAACTTCATAGAATACACTGTAAAGTGAATTGACTGTATATTTTGTGGGTGAAACTTAGCAGCCGATTGGGCGCAGCAGTGTCCCACAAACAGTTGTGGATTTTTTCAAGGAATTATTACCCCCAGAATGCGATCCGCTAATCGAATAACAACTGGGTTCCTACTTACTGCTAGTAAACAGAGGCATGTGAAGTTAGGAAACTTACCCAACGTTTCGCCCTGCCGGGAATCAAACCCCCGTCTCTTGCTTGCGAGGCGAGTGCTCTAACCACTGAGCTACAGGACTCCACTACAACAACAACTTGCACTTATATAGCACTCCCCACCTAGGGTAGTGTCTCAGAGAGCTTAACAGTGGCGGAGCCTGAATTATTACCCCGGAAAAGCGATCTGACAATCGACGGATTATGGAGTTAAAGGACCACAGAAGTAGGGAAGATCAAGGCTGCGGTGGACTTTGAAGACGAGGACGAGGATTTTGAACTCTATCCTCTTGGGGATAGGGAATCAGTGGAGTCGGGCGAGGGTAGGATTGAGAGGGTCACAGAGCCCGGTCGGGTAAAATGCAAGAAGTCACATGATAATAACCCTTCACATACACTTTAAAATCTCCTGCAAAAACGACCAGATTCCAAGAGTTTACTCACAGGAACAGAGCCCATGGAGAGACCAGGGCACTGAGGGAGAGTCTGAGGGAGAGGCTGCGGAGGTTTAGGACGTTTAGCAGGATTGAAGATGTGGACGGGAGCCAAGGAGTATGGCTTCCGTCTTATCCACATTTAGCTGCATGAAGTTTACACTCATCCAGACCCTGATACCTGCCAGACAAGCTGATAGAACATCGGCGGACCTGGAGTCGATGCTTGAGGTGGCAAAGTAGATTTGTGCGTCGTCATGTAGATGACATGTAGAAGTTTACCCCGTCGTCTGTAGATGACATCGCCTAAAGGGAGCATATGGATGAGGAAAAGAAGGGGGCCAGGGATGGAGCCCTGGGGTACCCCGCAGGTGACTAGGCGGGGGGGGTGGCGGGAGGAGAAACCAATTACAGTCCTGTAGCTCAGTGGTTAGAGCACTCGCTTTGCAAGTGAGAGACCTGAGTTCAATTCCAGGCAGAGGGCGAAACCTTGGGCAAGTTTCCTTACTCCACACAGAGCCTAATAATAATCCTCCAAAACCAAAATAATAATAAATTGGTCATTTTCAATCCATGACTGTTTGTGGGACATTGCTGTGCGCAATTGGCTGCCGCCTTCGCCCACAAATATACAGTCAATTCACTCTACAGTGTGTTCTGTGAAGCGCTTTGGGACGTCGAGAAGACGTGAAAAGCGCTATATCAAATGTAAGGATTATTATTATTATATACAGAAGCACTTTGAGACGTCTCAGCGAAGTGATAAGGTCCTCCATCGAACGCAAGGCTTGCTGTTGTTGTTATTATTATTATTATTCAGTAAAAGGGAAGTAAAACTTGCGACGCAAAACGGCCGCCGGGTTTCGCCCACCAAACGCACAGCCGCTCCGCTCCGCGGGGTATCCTGCGGAGCGCTCCGAGACGTCTCGAAGAGGCCGAGCGGGCGCTGTGTCAAATGCGAGAATCATCGTCACTATTACTATTGTTATTAGGGTAATTGCCCCAGTTTGCAGGGAAAGAAAACAGCCCCAACCACGGAGGGGGGGAGAGAGAGGGGGGGGGGGGGAAAGGAGAGAGGGGGGGAGAGGAGAGAGGGGGGGGGGAGGGAGAGGAGGGGGGGGGGAGAGGAGAGAGGGGGGGGGGAGAGGGGGGGGAGAGGAGAGAGGGGGGGGGGAGGAGAGAGGGGGGGGAGAGGGGGGAGAGGAGAGAGGGGGGGGAGAGGAGAGAGGGGGGGGGGAGAGGAGAGAGGGGGGGGGAGAGGAGAGGGGGGGGAGGGGAGGGGGGAGAGGAGAGAGGGGGGGAGGGGGGCGGAGAGGGGAAGGGGGGGGAGAGAGGGGGGGGAGAGAGAGGGGGGGAGAGGAGAGGGGGGGAGAGAGGGGGGGGAGAGAGAGGGGGGGAGAGAGGAGGAGAGGGGGGGGAGGGGGGGGGGGAGAGGGGAAGGGGGGGAGAGATCAACAAAAGGCTGCGGATCGTCGCCTCTGCGCCTGCGCGAGCATCCGTCGCGCCGCGGGGGCCGCTGGGAATTGTAGTTCCCGCCGCCTCGGCCCTGAGCCACAACCACAACAGCAGCAAAAAAAAATGTTCATTAAAACGCTCAGATTCTCGTCAACATCCACCCCCCCCACCTCACACCAACACCACCGGGGGGCCGCGGGGGGGGGGTCAACCGACACGACGTCTGTTTGGTGTTAAGTGTTTGGTGTCCAGTAGTATTGGGGCTGTGGGTCTCCCGCGCGCCGGCGCAATGGCGCCGTGTTGTGGCTCCGGACCGTGGACGCACAACACAAACCCCAAAGGCAATGAGGGGGGAGTGGGGAGAGAGGGGGGGGGGAGTGGGGGGGCAGATACACCACAACAACAACCACCACCACCACCACAACAACAGTCGATATTTAATTCTAAACACAAATGATCGGACAAGATCCTGAATATATTTGTGTGTGTGTGTGTGTGGGGGGGGGGGGGGGGGATGAGAGAGAGAGAGAGAGAGAGAAGGGGGGGGGAGAGAGAAAAAGTAACCCCACCGGAGCAAGAGATGGAAGGATCTCGGGGGCTGTTGTTACGTGTGTTTAGAGCGGGAGGGGAGGAGGGGAGAGGACCAGACACTGTGTGACGGGGAACAAAAACCCGCGCGAAGGAGAGGAGAGGAGAGGCGCCCGCACCCCCCCCGCACCCCGGCAACGGCGAACCGCCGAATCCCTCTTGCGAGCAAGAGGAGGGGCAGGAGTGTGGGGGGGGTGGAGAGACAGACACACAGAGACAAACAAACCCCCCCACCACACACAAATAATCATCAGAGCGGCGTGAACTTACCCATGTTTGGGAAGATGGTGGCCGCCGCCCGCCCCGACCGCCCGACCGCCCGCCCGCCCGCAGCCGCTGACGACGACGACGACGTCGCCGAGTCGGAACGATTGTGTGGGAGAAAGCTCGAGCCGGACCAGTGAGAGGGGCGGACCGCGGGCGGGAAGGGCGGGAAGGGCGGACCCCGGGGACCGGAAATGCTGAGGAGAGTCGTCGCCGCCGCCGCCGCCGCCGCCACCACCGCTCCGACCGCAGTTTGAGGTAAAACTCGGCGCAACGGCTGTCCCGGCAACGGCGGCGTCTCTCTCTCTCTCTCTCTCTCTACCTCTCCCACAGCCTTCACGGTCCTGCCTCAGACACCACCCTCCCCGGGGCGGCTGCTCCCTCCCGCCCGGCCCGGGCCTGCTGGCCGCTGTCAGCCCCCCCCCAGGCGGCCAGGTCCGGCCCGGCCCACCCGCTGCTCGGCGGACACTTAATAAAGAGGCTCCGTCAGGGAGTCGTCGCCGTCAACAGTTAATTAGTGATAATAATAACAATCGTCACTCCCGACTCTAACCCCCGGTCGCCGCGTCTCAAACTCCTCACGGATTTATTCTGCGCTAAAAGAGGAGCGTTTTAATGTGACGGCCCCTATTCCCCGCGGAATATCAAACCGTCTTTCGCACAAGACGGCGCAGGGATTAGAGGAGCGACCGTTGGTGGAGACACCGAGAGAGAGAGAGGGTCTGAACCATTCAAGGATGGAACCGTAAAGGTTGAGGTGAGGAGAGGCGGTGGAGGAGAATAGAGTGGTCAACGCTGCGGAAGGCGGCAGAGAGGACGCGGAGGCCGAGGGGGAGCCCTGGTCACCGATGAACAAGAATGTCCTTTGTCACTCTTGACCAAAGGTGTTGCGGTGCTGTGGGCGGTACGGAAACCCAATTGGAGGGGTTCGCGAAGGGAAGTGGCAGGAGAGGAAGGAGCCACGTTGGGAAACAACGACTTTTTCCAGGACCTTGGAAAGGGAAAGGGAAGTTGGAGGTGGGACGGTAGTTTGAGAGCAGCGATGGGTCCAGGGAGGGTCTTATTTAAGGATAAGAGGGATGATGGATGTTCTTAAAGGGGTGGAAACGGTGCCTGTGGACCGCTAGAGGTTTATGGTGTCTGTGAGTAGAGGGGTAAGGAGGTGGAGCTGGGAGGTAAGGAGAGAGGGTTGAGGTGTGGGAATGTAAAAGGACTAAAACAAGTAAAGTACAGAGTGTCTCGACAATAAGATTAGTTGTTTTTGAGCAACAGCTGTAGATAATTAGAGCAGAACGACTGTCCTTGTACTGTCTGCAAATGTATATTCAAGCTTGTGATGATTGAATGCTTGTTTGAGACACGAGGTAAACATGAGGTGATTGCAAATAATCATGTACATAAACTAATGGGACTGCCCCATTAGTAGAGGGAGAGTACCGACTCTTCTGAGAGACGTGCTGTTGTATTGCCTCTCGCTTTCCCTCTCCTTGCTGCAAGTATATTGAATAAACTATATTTCTGAGTTAACTCTGTTTGTGAGTGTTCGTTTAATCCTAGCTTTAGCGACTACACCTTGGGTTTGACAAAGGGAGCAGGTGGTCATTTTCATGTGGGTTAGAGTGGCGGTGCGAGAGGAGTGGGAGACAGGTTCGAAGATGTGGAGGGAGGGATGGGTAGGGGCCGGGGTGTGTGGGGGAGATTGCGAAGGGGTAGTAGACGGAAGGGCAGAGGCAGCCGAGCCGATCCCCCTCAACTTTGGTTTCATCATCATCTCGCAATTAGCGTTGGAGGAGAGGATTGGCGAAGCGTGAGAAGGTGGGCGGAGGAGCCAGTTGGTGATGGAGAAGAGGAACCAGGGGTTGGCCTTGGCCTCCAAGATTGTCTTGGAGTAGAACAATGATTCAGCGGAGGCGGGGGCGGAGCGGTAAGATTTGAAGAGGTCCAGCCAGATCTGCCTATGGACCATTAAGTTAGGTTTGAGCCGGGTGAATTCAGCGGCATGCTTTAAGGGAGCGGAGGTGGCTGGTCTGCCAGGGTAACTTTCGTAAGTAGGAGACAGTTCGGGAAGTGAGGGGATAAGGGCATCGAGAGTGGTGGAGAGGGAGTTGTGGAGGAGAGTGACCGAGGAGGATAAGTCATTGCGGGAGGAAGCCCAGATTTCAGATGATTCCAAACTGGTGGAGAGTGAGGGGGTGCATGGAGATTTGACAGTCATGGATTGAATGACCAAATTATTACTATTTTTTGAAGAGGTTATTGCTCCCCGAAAGCAATGGGCTAATTGACTAACAACCGGGTTTCTACTTACTGCTTAGGTAAACAGGTGTGTGGAGTAAGGAAACCCAGGAATCAAACGCAGGTTCTCGCTTATGAGACAAGTGCGTTAATTTCTACGCTGCAGAACGCAAGTAGATCAGGAATTAGACTGCTGGTATGTTTTTGTTTGGGACGTATATGTATGTATAAATGCAGGGATTATATGTTTATGTAGATGTAATTTTGCAAATTCTAAATTTGTCTTTTTTGCCTCAAAAGGCTGCGGAATCAACAAATAATCCTAGCTTTTGGTACAACGCTTTTCAGGTCAGGAGTACGTTCCAAAGCGCTTCAGAGGATTTACCTTGAAGCGGAGTGACTTTGTATTTTGTGGGCGAAAGAGACAACCAATTTGTGCACAGCAATGTCCCATAAAACAGCCACGAAACAAATGACCAATTTTATTTGGGGGATTGCCGGCCAGAATGCCCTGAGAAACGCCCTTCTCTTTTCGAATGATGCCTTGGGATCTTTTAACGTCCACCTGAACAGGCAGGTGGCACCTATGACAATGCAACACAGCCTGGTATTGCAGTGTTGTTCCTAGACCAGAGTTGTCCCAACAGGTCAGCGTGGTCCAATAGGTCAGGTGGTCCCAGGCCGTCCTCCCGTGGCAGAAGCCGGCGGTTGGGAGGACGCCGCTCAAGGAGTGGAAATAATGCCGACCATTACTGAAATGTGATCCCGAGCTGAGGGGAAGGCAAGCTCGTCTTTTTATTCCACCGCTTCCTGAGCAACAGCCGGCACTGCTGCTGCCGATAGTGAATCGCATGCTGATTGAGAGAGAAAGTGTGAAAAATGTGTGTGTGAGAGAGGTGAGAAAGGCGGAGTGAGAGAGACACACAGGGGGGAGAGTGATGGGTGGGGGGGAGAATATGTTTGAGGGGGAGATTGAGAGATGGTGATTAACAGAGGGGGAGAGAGTGATTTACAGAGAGAGAATGAGAGGGAGAGAAGGAAACAGAGTGAGAGAAAGTGTGAAGGCTTAAGAGTATGTGGGAGAGAGGGGGAGTGAGAGTAATCGAGATAGAAAGAGGGTGTGTGAGAGAAAGAAGAAGAGGGGGAAGGAATGATTGAGAGTGTGAGAGGAAAGAGAGAGTATGTGGGGGAGTGAGAGATTAATTGAGAGAGCGCGTGCAAGACTGTGAGAGGGGGTAGAGAGAGATTGAGAGAGAGAGAGAGATGTGAGAGTGATTAAGAGAGAGAGAGAGCATGAGAGAGGAGGAGAGAGAAAAGAGTGAAAGAGCAGAGAGAGAGAAGTGAGGGCAGCGTTTTGCAGTACACTGTCAGGAAGGATGAGTGGAGTCTCTCTCGGTCGCCGTAGGGGACTGAGGACAGACACCAAGTGCTGTGTAGTTTCCTCACAGAAAGCTCCCTCTTTCCCCAGTGAAAAACTTCTCTATGTCCTTCATTCCCCCCCACCCATCCCCCCTCCCAAAACTCACCTCTCCCATCTCCCAACCGACCATTCCCTTTGCCCAACACACACTGGCTTGCTTCATGTACTCCATCCCATCTGTCCCACCATTGCCTTTTTGCCCCCGCTCTCTGAAATTCCATTCCTGGAGTCCCTCCGACTTGCTCTCTCCCTCCCCTCTTTCAAGGTACGTCAAGTCCTAACTCTTTGACCACTCTTTTCCCCTCCCCATCTCACCACCCTCGGCTCCCACCCCCAACTCAGGTGCCCAGCTGGCAGGGTCGAATGCTTTGAAATGTCTTTCCAACATGAAACAGGTGATGTGTAAATGTAGTTATGTTTCTGGAAGGGAAACACAAAATATTGCTTATGCGGCCCACAGACCTTTCTCTAATAGGGAATCAGCCCCACGGCAGCCAAAAGGTTGGACCGCCCTATCCTAGACTATATGAATTCAAGTCTTGACATGGGGCTTGAACCCACAATCTTGATGACCCGGAGGCAAGAGTGTTACCAGTGAGCCAGGCTGACGCACAGTCACTACACTCTCCTGGAGTGCTTTGAAATGTCCTCCGGTTAGGCTGAAATTTGCTTATCCCAAAAACCTATGAGCTGACGACAATATCTTACTCGTTTGATGGGCCTTGGTTTTGTACATGCCCGTTCTCTTCACGTGTGTGTTGAAAATCAACTCTAAGTTGCACACTCAGCTGTTTTTTCCCCTCCCCCAACTATTTAATTGCTGACTCTGCATTCTTCTGCATTTTGATTGAATCATGACTTGTCAGTCCCACTGTTTGCTGACATCAGGTTTAGTATCACTCATGTCATTGGGACCTCGCAAATGATTTTCAGTGCATCTGCCCCAAAAGCAATTGAACCATATTTCCCCAGGAGATTCCCTGATCTGTGGTAAGGTACATGATATGTGCTGGGTCAGAAAGGTTGTTGACAGAAAGTCTAAGATGACACTCCAATGCAGTGCTAGGGTGTGTAGCATCATCATAGCATGTTCAGATGGAAGTTAAAAGATCCCAAGACCCATTCAAAAAGAGAAGGGCATTTCTCTTGGCATTCTGGCCGGCAATCCCCCAAATAAAATTGGCCATTCGTTTCATGGCTGTTTATGGGACACTGTTGTGCACAGATTGGCTGTCCCATTTGCAGTGGGATGCTCCGGGAGACTATCTCACGTGAAGAGCGCTATATAAATGTTGTTGTTGATACAAATAGCTTCAGTCCTACAGGGAGAGTAAAATCAGCCAGAATACTTGTTCATGATCCCTTTTCAGGCACTCCCTGCTACCAAGAGTGGATGTGGAGTAAGGATAGGATTCTGGACACACACTGCCTAGATTCACGTGTCAACAATGATCAACTTGGATGAGAGATCAGAAAATGGACTGAGCCCATTGATTTGTATCACAGTCTGAGTCAGTAATAATCCATCCCTCAAACCCCTCAAAAAAGAGTAATAATTTGGTTACTAAATCCACGACTGTTTGGAACGCTGCTGTGCGCAATTGACTGTTGCGTTTCACCCACACAATATACAGTCAATTCACTTTACAGTATATTCTGTGAAGCGCTTTGATGTGATGTCTATATATTGCTCTGTATCAAATGCAAGGATTATTATTATTTGATAAAGCGCCTGTAGGGTTAACCTCTCAAGCGTTTCACAGGGAATTGCTGTCCAGTGTATTCTCTATAGGCAATATTAAAAAAAATGGGTTTTGACATTGCAGTACATGTTGTGTAGTCAATCCTGTTACATGTTTATGGGTTGGCGGAGGATGATGTTTGGAGCGTCTTTTGGGATGAAGCTGTTTTCCAGCTCAGTTCCACCAGAGGTTTGTGGTGAGTGAGCCAAGTTTTGTTTCAAAGGAAAATCTCCATTGTGCAAACACTCGGATTCCCAGCCCACTGTATGAGGCACTTTGAGATGTCCCCTTGACATGAAAGGCACTGTATAACTGTAATTTGTTGTTGAAAGTACAGTGGGTTAATGTGAGTGATCTCTTACTGTTTGTGGGTGTCTTTATGTCCTAATAGATGGTGCCCCACATCTAAAAGTGAAAGCAAAATGCTGAACAGCCAGGAGGAGGAGGAGGTAAGAACTTATTTCACCCTTTTCTTTCCTTTCGATTGTTGAGGTGCCAATTCATTGGGTTTGACGGCTTGCTGGATTGGGGCAACGACTTGATGTGCAACACATTATGGCCTTGAGTCACAGTACCTACTGTATGTACCATGCGCAGCTCCTGCTGTGCCACTGCACTAGAATGTCGCGCTGCTTTTACTTGTTCCGACTGAACCCCCACCTCCCCACGTCACAGTCATTTTTCTCCTCCGACAATTTTCACCCCTCCTCCTAAAATCTCCTTTATTGCCTCATTCAAGCGTCTATTCTTCATGTGTCAGTCACGACAGTTAGTGTGGCAGGGTATTTGATGGGGGGGGTGGGTGCTGATAACATTGTGAACTGTGGAAAGGGGTGAAATTCTTTTTGTCACGACTGTAAATATAAGGCAAAGTGGATTACAATGGAGTTTCCCCGTTTAGAACTGAAACGTTGCTTTATAGGAATTCATCACTGTGCGTGTACAAGATCCAAGGATACAAAATCAGGGTTCCTGGAATCCCTACATCGAGTACAAAATCTTCCTCTATGTGAGTACAAGACCAATTGCTTCCTATGCAATTCTTAGAGTGTGAGTGGACAGTGTGTGACTTGAGTTTTGGGGCTGCTGTGATCTATCCACTAGGAGACACTAAATGTTAACTTACAACCCATTTCTTCGACCACAAATTTCTGCGCCCCGCCCCGAGCTCGCCGTTCAACCCCGCCATGGTGAAGCACTCCAAGAAGTTATACTACATCAAAGGGCGCTATGTAAATGCAAGTTGTTATTGACTGGGGATGGGTGGGGGCAGCAGGATTATAATAATGATTTTATTTGACAAAGTACCTTTCACATTGGGAGGACATCTTGAAGCTTTGTACTGTAAAGTGGGGTGACTTGTGTATTTTTGTGGGAGAATATGTCAGTCAATATTGCATAGCATCTGGCTTTCGTTCGGTACCTTTTTCCAATGGCTCAGGATTCTGGGGAATCAAGCCCATTGCCACGACAGTATCCTGGCACACTATGAATGTTTGGAAATCCAACCAGATGGGTCTTGGCATGCCTGACACTTGCACAAGGGTGTCTGTACTTGGTGCCTTTCCCCAGCTGAGCTCAGGAAGTTGGTGGGCACAGGATCAATCCCTCCACTTTCCAGGCTGGTCCCCTGGTCTTCCCAACATTTTTTCTTAATGAAGGAATCTTGAATGGAACTCATTCGAGGAAGTCCAGACTTTATAAGGCTTGTCTAGGCAGAATTCAGAGGACGGCTGGATTGCTGAACTGGAATGGAAACAATTGGGGCATTTAAAAGGGGAATTTGATAAAACCACGTGGAGGAAGGGTATTAGGGTATTAAAGGGTCCAGGGGATTAGAAATACAATAGAGGAAGAAACACTGGCACTAATACAATGGGTTGAATGGCTTGTGTGATTGATTTCTATGATTCTAACTCTTTCAGACAAACAGTAAGGCTTTCACTGTGAAGACGTCCTGTGTGCGGAGACGATATCGGGAGTTTGTATGGCTGAGACGTCAGCTCCAAAGGAATGCCGGGTTGGTGTAAGTACAGCTTTGAATAACACGCTTACCACTAGGATTTGTGATGAATGGATAACCTGTCTCTTGAAGGCATCAGCACTCCTTCCAACTCTACTGACAGTTTGAAGGACTGGATCAATCCAAACACGTTTTGTTTGCCAATTTTTTTCCCATTGTTTCCTGAAGGCCCTGACTGTGCAGGGGTCTGTTACACAGACTGGCTCTGCTCCCTTACCCAAGTAGCCATTCTTCATGTGGGATGTTGACAGTGACTGCTCGCAGGGTGATCGACCATGGTGTTGTAGAGGATCACAACCCGATCCTGTCCTGAACTGACTTGCACACATGCTGTTCCCTGTAAGATTCATTGTATAGTGATCAGCACTAAGAATCCTGCTTGATTTTCTACCTGCCTAACCTAATAGCACCAAGGACTGCAGTAGCAATTGTCCCAACTGTGACCGGTGACTCACCACTGGTCTAAGATTGAACCTGGGTCTGTCCCACTGAGCAATGGGAGGAGATCTGCTCAGTTTATTTTCAATTAATGTCCAGGCATCAGATAATAGGTAAACCTGTCTATGTTTTTTTTTAATGATTTTATTGTGTTGTGGAGTTTTTATTTTTAAAAGTTACAGGTCAGTGAATAAAATCCTAATCTTAAATCCAGTTTCCTAAACTTTATGCTGGAGGGAGACGAACAGAATCTCATGACGAAGAAAGTCAGCGAAAGAGAGAGTCTGTGTTTCGGGAGAGACCATGTCAATGGATGAGAAAATAACCGGGGAAACGGAGGATTGTTATGAACTGGAATTCTGTTCATGAATGTTCCTGCTCTATTTCCTAGGCATGACTGACAGTGGAAGAAAGTATTGGAAGTTAGGGCTAATAAAGAACAGGGCTTGGTTTAGAGAAAATGGGCAGCGTGATTAGCCAAATTGCCCCATGTGGGTAGAAAATTTCTATGTAGGTTAGCGGACAGTCAGCATATAACAGATGATCTGGAGCCGTTGGCACAGGCTGAATGATAAACCAACAAGAGATCAAGCCTGTAGTTAAACCCCCTGCAATTGTTATTTATTGATATAAAGCAACTTAGGAAAAACAGCACTTAAGGAGTGACTGCTTCAAACCCTGGGCTGTATATTGTTGACAAAATCCCCCACCCACCCGAGGAGCAGCCTTTCCCCAAGTGGAGCAGCAGCAATGTTTGAAAACAAATCAAAGTAATTGTCTCCACTTGTCTTTTCAATGGAGAGCTACGAGATCACAAAGATTTGGATGGAGAAGGCCCTTCAGCCCATTTGATTTTATTCCTCCGAACCACACACCCCGCGGTTCTCGCATGACTGCGTCAAGCTATTCCTCAAATGAGTCCCATTTCCTAGCTTCGACCATCTTCCTGCTTAGCCACTCCAGCTACTGATTCTAATCTTTGTGAAGAAATATTTCCTGGTGTCTGTTCTGGTGTTTGCCCTTCATGTCCCTGATTTGTCACCCTTTTTGAGTATGGGATCTACGTTTTGTCCATTTCCAGTCTGGCAAACCCTCCTCATTGATCATCGACTATTTCAAGAAATGTCCCGTACGATTCTATCTAAATATAAATAAATAATAATAATTTGGAACCTCAATCCACGTCTGTTTGTTTGACACCACCAGGTGCAATTGGCTGCCGCGTTTCGCCCACAAAATATACAGTCCATTCACTTTACAGTATATTCTGTGAAGCACTTTGAGACGTCTCAAAGACGTGATGAGGCCCTGTATCGAATGCAATATTATTATTATCCCTCCATGAATTTAAGGACCTGCTCTGTCGCTCCCTCCTGCCTTTGATGGGACGACTGTATGGGAGGAGGATTTGGAATTTAATACGCTGTGAATACAGGACTCCCATTTCTTCCTACAGGTCTCTGCCAGAGCTCCCGGGAAAGAGTCCCTTTTTTCCGGTGCACAACAGGGAGCGGATTGAGAGGAGACGCCAGGGACTGCAGCAGTTCCTGGAGAAGTAAGTGTTGGATCAGAATGAGTTCCTGTTACAATCCCATCTCTTTTCTGCCTGAGCTGGAGACTTCACACGCCTGTGTTTGGTCGTGATAGTGAACCCGGAGCTCCTTCGGTGTCCAGAATAAGTAACACTAGGCCACACAGACCAGAAGTTGCAGGGTCAAATCCCTCCCTGATAGTGGGTCTAAGATGGGGCACAAATTGGGGCTACAATTGACCTCAGCGTCCTCTTGGGTTAGGGATGGGAAAATCGGTCACGATATCCATCCCTGTTTTCTATCCAGATTCCCCTCGCTGGACGATGTTGGAATCAGGTTCAGTTGTCATTCCGCCCTCTGACCGAATGTCGACAGACATTGCGAGTGAGTCTTGCACTGGGCACCAGAGCAATTATCCAGTGAGCTATTGGGGCTCTGGGTCAGAAGTTTGGAATGTAAAGTGTTGGCCCAACAGCTGTATTACTGAGACTCTACGATTGGGTTCCAGTGCATTATTGGGGCTAATCTAACAGCGCGATTTGTGAATGGCTTTGGTACCCCCCCCCCACCCCCACCCACCCCCCACTCCCTGTGTTCAACAAGACTCAATGGCAGGTTTACCGTTTCATTTATTGGTTACATCGCCACCTAGTGGTCAGCTCTGATAGTACCTGTTTCTTCACGCAGCGCAAACAAATCAGTTTCCCACGGCTTGTGGGACAAATAAAGTGATAAATGGAGCTTAAAAACGGCTGCTTCTTCACAATTTTCTCCCCCTTGCCTTGTGCCCTGAATGCATTGACCATGGCTAGGGTAATGCCAGCCCTTCTCTAGTTTAAATAGCTTTACACGTTTACAGCCATGGAAACAACACCCATCTGTGATGTTTATACTCCACATGAGGCTCCACCCGCTGCTTACTCCCTCCCACACCCTTCTATTCCCTTTCCTTCTCCCTTATGTGAAAGTCTAGCTTCCTCCTAAATGCATCTCATACCATCTGCTTCCACCATTGCGTTGCGCAGCGAGTTATACGTTCTCACTGCGTGAAGTTCTTCCTAAATTTTCTTATCCGTACCCTAGTCCCCTGGTACCTCGTCTGAACAGACATTCATGCCGTCTGAGTCTGTAAGGTGTGTGTTGATCAGGTATGCGTTCAGTGATGTAGGTGAAATTTCCTGTCCTCACCAGACATCACGCGTGATCTTTCAAGTGTGGGGGTGGGGCTGGGGGCGGCATTTGATAGTGTTCAGAAGTAGGAACTTGGGTCTGTTTTTTTTCCATCCTAACAGAACTAGCTAGAACTTAGCACTCCTAATTGCTGCCCTGCCTGAGATCAGACTGGCGGTTGAACCTGGGACATTTTGCTTCTGTGTGCGTCAGTGTCACCCCAGGCAGCAGCGGCTTGCTTGTTAGCTGAGCCATTGGGGACGGGGAAGCTGTTTTTCTGGTTGCAAATCCTGTTTACAAAGTATCTGCAGCCAATGTGTTGTTGAGAATCTTGTACCAATTGTGTCATTGCCCAACTCCAGCTGCCGCCTTCCCACAGCCATTGCACAGCAGTCAATCACCCCCTCCTTTGCCTCCTTCACGACCCATCTCAAGACCCTCCTATTCGGTCACACTCCTACCTCTATCCTCCCTGCCCTCCGCCCCTCCTGATCCCAACTGCCAGCTCAGATGCGGATCCCTGACTGTCCAGGGCCTTGGGATGTCCTACTGACGTGAAAGGTGCTATACAAATGTAGTTTGTTGTTGTTGTCGTCATCTCCCGTGTACCTTTATTTGTTAATATTGCCTTGGGACCTGCGGTTCTGGTTTGTTGCCAAAGATCGGGGAATGGGGGGATGTGTTTGTCAAACCCCGGACCCAGGAAGGGACTTGTACACAATTGCAGATTTTGTTTTGTCTGCGGAGTATGTGACACACAAGGAAGCCCATCACCATGAGTATCTGAACCAAATTAGAATACTCCATATGTATATGGAATTTCAGCTTGTCTGAAACGGAGTGCAAACTTTCTCCCTGGAACGGACACGTCCTGTTCAACCAATTCCGGAAAATATAATGTATTTTATTCTTCCAGCCCCATTCAGTCAGTCCTTTTTAACTGCTTTACTTCCATACCGCTGTAAATTGTTCCTTTTCAGATACCTATCAAGTTCCTTCTTGAAAGTTAATATGGATCCCGCCTCGATCGCCACACCTGTCAGGGAGTTCCATAACTTAACATTTTCCGTGTAAAATAAATAAATAAATAAAATCCCACGTCGGGGCTTGAACGCACAGTCTAAGCTGACGCTCCAAAGCACTTTTCAAAAAGAGAAGGGAGTTTCTCCCTCCCGGTGTCCTGGCCAACAATCCCCCAAATAAAATTGGTCATTTATTTCATGGCCGTTTGTGGGACACTACTGTGCTCAATTGTGCTGCCGCATTTGCCTTTGAATACACAATCACTCCATTTTACAGCAAATCTCGTGAAGCGCTTTGAGATGTCCTTCCAACGTGATAAGGCACTGTACCAAATGCAAGGGATTATCGAAACTGATGCCCTCTACTCATTGATTCACTAGCCAGTGGAAATAATTTCTCCCTGTCGACTCTCATCAAAACCTCTCATAATTAAAAAGGGCTGAATCAGGTCTCCCCTCAACTTTCTCTGTTCCAAGGAAAATAGGCTGTGGATTGTCCTGTTAATTCTCCTCTCCTCCCAAGACATCCTTTCTAAAGTTGGCCACAATACTCTCGCTGCAGTTTAACAATTTGTAGAAGTTATTATGATGTCTCCCATAGTCAATCTCTCGACACTCAGTTTCTAGCCTTAAACGTGTATAAAGTAACCAGGCCCTTGGGGCCACATTGCAGCGCGAATCAGTCCAAATTGGAAGAGAAACTGGATGAGAAGTAGACACTTGTCTGTAGCCTGTAAAACAGGACCACAACCCACAGCAAAATGTTTTGCATGTGTGGAGTTTTATTTGATTGCTATCCTGTGTATTCTGAATAGTCTCATTCCGTCAAACAACTGAAACAGGGTGGATGACCTTTGGTTGTCTAATGCTGGCTGAGGAGGACAAGGCCTTGCAAAGAGAGATTTTATACCATCTATGTCTCCCAATACATTTATTTAACCCTTAGTGGTTTTCATGTACAGATAACCTTGCCTTTGATATTGCACCTTATCACGTTGTCAGATGTCTCAAACCACTTCACAGAATTGACTGTAAAGCACAGCGATTGCGTATTTTTAGGCGAACGCAGCAGCCAATTTCCAACAACAATGCCCCACAAACAGCCATGAATCGAACGATCAATTTGAACCGGGGTAAACATGTTCACCAGGACTGCAGGAGAAACCTTCTCGTTCTGATGAGTGGGCTGGGAGCTTTGACATCTGGCAAAAACAGGCAGATGGAGGACCTCGGTTTGACGCCATCCTCCAGAACCAATTGGTGCGAGGACTTTGAAAATAGTGGCGGGCACAAGGAACACAGAATAAATAGACTCGAGTGCGCCTGCAACTTCTGAGGACATTTTAATTACAGCAGCAGCCCGTAGGGGGTGCTGTGGCCTTAAAATATGTTTTACATCAATGGCTCTTCTAACCTTCAGACTCCAAATACAGTTATTCTTTGGAGGAATTATTACCCCCAAGAAAGCGATGAGTTGGGGGGGAGGAGGGAGGAGGTGACAGGGGTTCCTTGTGTGGGGTGGTGGGGGTTGGGGGGGAAGTCAATTACACGGTAAGGATCAGTTTGTGGAATGTTACTTTTCGCGCAGACGCAATTAAAGGGAGAATTCCTATTTAACAAACCCAGAACAAACACGGACATTACGGAAATATATAATTGGAGTTCACTGTCTTTAAAAAGCCGACACCTTGAGTCAACGAAAGTACTGTGCAGCATTCAGCGAGCCACTCCCAACGATAAACACACAAAATCGATTCGTTAGAATAAGTCTTTTCAGAGCCAGACTATCTCGCGCCCTCAATAAAATGCACACAATAGATTTCTCATGTCCCTGTGCTCTTGCAAAGTTTTGTGACTGGATTTATTTATTGAAAGGGAAGGGGAGAGATTCTGGGCTTTATTATGTGACCGTACATACCACTGACTATTGGAGTTGCCCCCCCCAACCCCCACCCCATCCCCAAATGAGCAAAGGACTGCTCCAAGTAGGATATTCTTTGTTTTAATGTTTTTGGTTTTACACATGCGAAAACCCTTCACTTTGTTTAATAGAATCCAAACCAAACAGTTTTTCCATCCTAACACTACACCTGAAATTCCCATTTATTCGAATGGAATGCACATTCTCTGCTTGGAGGGACACATCTTGCTTCCCTAATTCTGGAAAGTATTAGGCTCAGGTTGACAAGAGCCAAGGCTTGGGACCCAGAGTGTGAACTGGGATAACTGCTGGAGTCTAACCAGCTAAAAAACACATAACTTGCTATTGAAAGCATTGTCTGGCAAGCGCTTTCCTGCTACTTGTCCAGCTAGGACAACCCTACCCATTGGGTTTTTTGCTTGCAGGGTTAACAGGAGCACAGTGGGAAGAATCCCTACCCCCAGTGACTGTTGCACCCCTCCGTCTGCTACTTCTGAGCCAGGTCGGCTGTGCTGTCAGTACTGCAGTCCCGCCCCGGAGTACTGCGTGTCCGCCTGGATCAGCAACTGGACTTACAAGCCCACAGAAGGCGGACTCGATTCTGACATTCCGTGCAGCTCCCAGAAAACCCCGCTTACTCCCCTCCCAAGAAGGAGTGAGCAAAGCGACACTCTAAACTAATGCAACTTGTGCCCCACAAATCAACAGCTTCAGAAGTGAAGGTCAGAGCATCAGAAAAGGAAAATCAGGGGGTTCCAAAAACAAAAGGCTGAAAACCGCAACCAACTCCTAAAATCCCTCAGTGCTCATAGCGGTCCAAAAATGAACTTGGTCTTGAGAAGGTAACAATTTATCTTTATATAGAATATCCTGAGCCCCCGACATGACCGCGCGCTCACTAGCCACTGGAAAAGGCTTCTTTTAACAATTAAAATGTAGGAAATAAAAGCTTTTTGGTCGGACTGGAGGAAGCTCAGGCCAAGAATATGCAAATCCTTGGCTACGAGCAGCTCTGAGTTCAGCCAGGTTGTCCCTCTTTTTGGAGTACAAATGTAATTTGTTGGTGTTTGGAGGGCTTCAAGACCAGCCCCAGACAAGCCTCTCCAGACCTCCTTGATTCATACTCGAATAAAGAGTGAGAAAAGCAGCTCCAAGGTCTGGTTCCTGAAGCCTTATGATTTGGGTTTGAGAGTCTTGTCCAGTTTGCTTGAGACCCACTTTAGGTAGGCATTTCTGAAGCTGAACTCCTTGATCGGAGGCCCATGAATGGAGATCTTCAGCAGGTTTTCCAGTGAGGTGCCGGACAGCGAGTTCCCCAGCCTGCTCTGCAGTGCGGCCTCCCTGCTGAACCCTCTCTCGAGCTCGGCAGTGGTGATGGGCAGAGCCAGAAAGCGTTCTGCCAGCGAGCTCACCGTGGGGAACATCAGCTTCTGCTTGAGCGCCAGCTCACACACGTCTTTGGCGCTGGTCAGTGCGTTGACTCCCGGCTGCGATTCTACAAAGTTCATGAAGCTGACCAGCTCCTGTTTGCAGCTCATCTCGAAATCCTCTTTGTCGCTTTCGCTGGAGAGCGAGGACAGGTAATTGGTCACAGTCTGGATGTGCTGGCTCTTGGAGTCCGGGGCGTATGCAGGGTCGAATATGGCCGTCATCGCAGTGATGGTCGCCGCGTCTCCCGGTTCCGAGAAGCGAGCCTTGAGGTCATCCGTGAGGTTCCGGGCAAACATCCGGCAAATGCTCTCTGCTGCTCTCCTCTGGGCACCTCCACCTTTGATCTGGTGACTTTGAAAGCTGAAGAAGCCGGCGTTGTCGTCCCAGCCACCCGCGGGCAACGTGGCCAGAAAGGTCTTCAGCATCTCCCCGCTGCTCTCGCCGCTCAGTTTATTAATCGTGGTGACCGTCGACTTGAGCAGCGAGTGGGCGATGGAGAAGTCAACCCTTGCTGTGTGGTAGCTTTTGCACAGGATGTACAGCTGGTGCAGAATATCCGCCAGAAAATGGCTGCAGTGGAGAAATTTGTAAGTGCACATGCTCTTTGCCAGCCCAATGGCTATCGCTGACCCATCGCTGCGGAGAACAGAAACCAGGCAGCCAAAGTTCCGAATTACAGCCTCGATGGAGGCCCTGACGGTCAGCCACCGGGACGAGGTCTCTTTGAAGGGACTGCTCTGCTTCTCTGAGTCTCGTAGTATCTTGAGCATGGCCTCCAGCCCCTCCCTGCTGGCCAGCACGTTAGCAAAGTATTTATAGACGGAGGCCAGGACATGCTGGTACTTCACCAGGTAAGGGACGGTGTCCGCAGCTGACACGCTGCTCAGCGCTAACCGGTGGGCGATGCAGTGAATCGACAAGATACCCGGAACCCGTGCCTTTAACTGAGTGACCACCTCGTGCTTGTTTTCAGTGGTGATGGACACGCCGTCGATCGCAACGCCGCACATCTTGGTGACGTCGAGCCCTTTCCCTTTGAGCATCTCCGCTATCTCTGCCATTATCTTACCTGCTGTGGCCTCCCCCATTTGCTTCAGCGCCAGGAAGTAGGTCTTTGGCTCGTAGCCTCCGGCCACTTGTTCGATGATTCGGACGTACAGTAAAAGGCTCTGCTCGGGGAAGCTGTGGGACTGGTCAACCAGGATGCTGAAACAGTTGGCAGACTGCGCCCTTGACAGGATTCCTTCCTCGATGACCTCTGCCACGGCTTGTTGGAATTCCCCGATGGATTTGTCACCCTGGTAGGAGATGTGCTTGTCGGAGAGCAGAGCAGACAAGTCACCAACTCCCTGAATCAGGCATAAATCATTCAGAGCTTCTGTACTGAAGTTGGGGAGCATCTCTTTGCCTGAAAAGTACACGTTGCGAAGAACGCACATCACAGCTTGCTCGGACTTTTTGAGGCTTTCCTCTTGAGCCTTTAATGTGGCCTCGGGCTTTTTGTTGGAACTTGGGGCCGCTTTACGGCTGTTCTCACCTGAGGAAAAACAGTGACATTTATCATGCAAATAGCCCTCTATTTGTCCCTTCACTGTTTGCCCCAGCCACGCTCAATGGGAGGCAACAGATTTGAACTTGTCTGTGTGCCAATTTTCTGCTCTCCTAAATGCGTTGCTGACTTGTGCTGGGGCTACAGCCATTGACCAAGTAGCCATTGATGTAGGAGTCTAGATAGTGAGGTGCCAGTGGGCTTGGTATCACAGCCAAGCCCAATTCTGTCCTCATCTAATGCCATTGCTTGAGCTCTTTCCAGCAGGTTTAACCAGAGATCAGTTGAGTCAGAACACGGGGGTATTGTTCCCTTCTCTAGCCCAGGATCACTGGTATGAAGTGCATTACCCCTACTTCCCCCTAACTCAGCAGGTAACAGGGCAGGAGCCTGGACCTTTCTTGGTTTGTTCGGCTCGGCTTGGCTCGGCTCAGCACCCCACCTCACATGCCTTCACTGAACCATGAGGGTTCATTGATCGTTACATATTTGCCTCATAAACCAACCTTTGTAAAACTGACTGCGTCTCTTGGCTATGAAGTCCTCTCTTACATGTCGTCCGTACGGGCTGTGAGGTGTTTCTGTTTGCACATCAAAGGGATGTCCGACTGGAATCTCAACAAAGGAGCCTCGAGGGAGCCGATGAGCTCCCAGCTGGTGAAGCACTTGTGAGAGAGTCTGTTTTCCTGAAAGACAGATAAAGATTTGCTTGTTTTTAGTCACCTCTTATCCTCTCCTCCCCTCAGAGCAGACTGGCCAATTACCTCCTGAATCAGGCATGAAAGGTTCAGAGATTCTGTTTGCCTGAAAAGTTTTTTTTGAAGCATGAACCTCACCAACTCGTGCTGCAGTGCAGTGGAGGGATGTACAGCACAGGACCAGCAGCGATAGAGTGACCATTCATCCTGTATTGGTCTGGATAGTGACTGTGGGCAGGTGAACTGTCCACTTAGTAGGGAAGGATCACACCTGATCTAACCATGTTTTCAAATGGTATGTGCAGCTTGGGACGTCCTGCAGATGAATGTGTATTTTTGATCACCAGAAGATTGTTTTATTGAGGAGCTACAATACAGATCTTTTCGTCACATTATTATGTAAGCCAAGTATTTCCTTGTATTTGTTATACAACAACAACTTGCATTTATATGGGGCCCTTCATGCAGGGTAGCGTCTTGGAGCACTGATAGTATGTTATCAAGACATCTCAAAATGCTTAACTGGATTCTATTATGAAGCGTAGTGATTGTGTTTCTAGCAGAATTATTTCCAATGGGAATTCACGCCCGGACTAGAACTTCTGCTCTCTGGTCAGGGTAGAAAGATATCGGTTTAGTATTCCTAACGTCATTTGCAAGGATTATTATTCAGAACAATAAATTACACCCAGGTTTATACAGTTAACCCAGAAATACCGCAAAAGAGGTTTGGATGAAGAAGCTTTGAACGATTTCTTGGGCTTACAGATGATTCCAACTGGTGCTTACGCTCTGTAAATAAATACTTTCAGCTGTTTGTTCTACATTTACCCGTTCCAGTTCATATATATATGTATATATTCCTGGTGTGCCCAACATGTACTTGCACTTATCACATGTCACTGATGAATATTTCAAAGTGCATGTTATTTACCTCCTTATCTTACCTCCACCAGCAATTGCACCTCGGACTGATTTCTCTACTCTGGCTATGCATTCCTCAAACCTCATTCCTCTAGCAATGGGGATCAGCCTCGGTATTGTCCTCACTGTTTCTAGACCTTGGGATATCCCGCACCCCCCCTCCGCCCCCACATCCCCCTCTCTGTATGCCGTAACTTAATCATTCCAGCTGCCAATTACCCTCCATTCTAAAACATCTGCTTTCAAGTGCAGTGGTAATGTATCAAAATAATAGATTGTAAAAATTCACAGTCACTGTCTCGCAACAGATGGTGATACAGTGCTTTTATCCTTCACGTGTTCGGATGCAGAAAAAAAAACTTGAATCTTTATAGCGCCTTTTATCTTAAAACATCCCAAGGTGATTTGCAGTAATTATTGTCAGGTGTAATGACTTGTGGATTTTAGACAAATGCCTACAAGATGCCATGAGCAGCCATGAAGCAGACGATGTGAAGAAATTTCTTTCTCTGCTTCAGTAGCGTCACAAGATATTTTAAGCGTTCTGCGACGCCAACTGAGTGAAGGGCACTATATAAGTGCAAGTAGTTGTTGTAAAGTCCACCCGAGGAATAGGCAGACGAGTCCTTGGTTTAACATCACACAGAGGATGGTGCCGCTGACTAGACAGTATTATTTGGCTTGTTCTGTTTGCTGTGCTGTTTGGGTTGGTTCCCGGCTGGACTAGACAGTGGGAGTGAGCGCAGTGGTCCCAGTGCTCACACCTACCTCTGTAAGAAGTAATGCTTTGGCTCGGTCGCCCAATCGGTGCTGAATCCTCCTCCTGTAGGATCCTCTCGTGCCGGGTTCGGGTGGCCACGGTCCGGTAAATGGGAGTCTTGGTCCTCATGATCTCATCCGAGGGGCTGCCGGAGGAACAGGGTGCTCGACGCGAGTCTTGTAGCTCTTCCGGGGCTGCAGGACACAGTGAGCGTGTTATCTTAGTGACCCTCCAAAGACAGCTCTGCCACACGCCCAGCACATAAACTGGAGCCTGGCTTGTCACTCAGAAAGTGGGGTAGAGAGGTTGGCGTTTAGAGGCTGGCACTGGGGGAGTGAGGGGGTGGCACATGGGGGAGTGAGGGGCTGGCGCTGGGGGAGTGAGGGGCTGGCGCTGGGGGAGTGAGGGGCTGGCGCTGGGGGAGTGAGGGGGTGGCACTGGGGAATGAGGGGGTGGCACATGGGGGAGTGGCGCTGGGGGAGTGAGGGGGTGGCGCTGGGGGGAGTGAGGGGCTGGTGCTGGGGGAGTGAGGGGGTGGCGCTGGGGGAGTGAGGGGGTGGCACTGGGGGAGTGAGGGGGTGGTGCTGGGGGAGTGAGGAGCTGGCACATGGGGGATTGAGGGGGTGACACATGGGGGAGTGGGGAGGTGGCGCTGGGGGAGTGAGGGGGTGGCACTGGGGCCCAGACAGAGTTCTATCAAAGCCATTAAAGTAGTGATAAATCCTTTGGCCTGTGGGAGGATTCCCCCTCGATCTTTGTCAGGAATGATTGATGACTCAGATCAAAATATTGGTCGTAAGTTTAGAAACCATTATAAATCTTAAAATACAGTTAATGGGGGTCTAATGCACAGCGATCTCTAGCAGCATTCCTTAATAAGGAATCCGAGCATAGAGTTCTCCCAATAATCCTGAGTGCCTCACACCAACCAGGAGGGGAACTTCACTCCGAAGGTAGACGGTGTTGGTTGCTTGGTTACTTATTAAAAGAATCCTGTTGAAAATCGCCATCTGTTAGATCCCTTTAAAAGGAGCGGTATTTTAGGTGAGAGAGTTAGAGAGTGAAGGTCTCACAGACGAGAGCTTTAACGAGGGAAATGCGTGGCCGGGGGTTGGTGCGGAGCGGGGTCAGATGCAGCGAGTTGGCTTGACGAGCAGAGAGCGAGAAAGAAAGAACTCACCTGCGTAAAACGAGTAACTGTGGCTGCTGCCTGTGAGCTGAGCGCCGCTCTCCTCCTGTTTAATGCGTTGAGAATGATGGGTGCTGGTCGCTCTATGGATGATTGTCTGCGCACTCGCAGTCTCGTCGGATGAGGTGTCAGAGGAGTCCGAGCTGTATGCTGTTTCTTGCTGACCTGAAGGGATTGGGATGGGGGGGAGAGGGGGAAAAACGGTCCCTGTGAGTGATTAGTAGGCTCTCACTCTATGTTCCCAGGACATAATTACATCTCCTTCAAACTTGCATTTAAACCCCAAAACCTGCCTGAATGATGTGCCTCTCAGAGCCCAGTGAAAATCCAATGAACTGTCTGCATATCAGGGAACTCTGTACCGGATTCTCCTGCCCCTCGGAATGGGTAGTGGGGAGAAACGAATAACTGTTTTTCAGAAAAGTGTTCTACTTCACAAATGAGGTGAGCCAAAGGATGCTGGTAACCTATGCCAGGAGGAGGGGAATCACAGCCGATCATGTCCCTATTGACATCCCATCCTCACCTGGCCCTGTCCTCTCCTTAACCGGTGTAGAAATAATAATAATAATCTGGTCACTCAATCCACGATTATTCGTGGGACGCTGCTGTGCGGAATTGGCTGCCCGTTTCACCCACAAAATATAGTCAATTCACTTTACAATGTATTCCGTGAAGTGCTTTGAGATGTGATAAGGCACTATATCAAATGCAAGGATTATTATTATTAAGAATCTGAGCCCATGTGGCATTTGTGATGTTGTATTCTGGAGAGGTGTGAATACTTGTCTGACCGAGGTCACCTTTTTGAAGAGGAAGCTCTTAATACTTTTGTAATACTGATATGAGAGGTAGCAATGGTCGTCCTCCTCTCTCTTGCCTCGCTCGGCCTTGCTCTGACTGCCTGTTGCTGGCTCGTTAGAAGTGCCTGGCGTCTCTCGCTGGCCTCGCGTGTCTAAAGGAGCTGGGAAGAGGCATTTAGAAATCCTGGATGCGGTACATGCTAATTGTACACACACCAAAAAAATACTAATTTGGTCACTCAATCCACGACTGTTTGTGGGACACTCCTTTGTGCAATTGGCTCTCTGTCGCTTCTGCCCACAAAGTATAGTCAATTCACTTTACAGTATATTCTGTGAATCGCTTTGAGTCGTCTTGAAGACGTGATAAGGCGTTATATCAAATGCAAGGATTATTATTAAGTACGCACTCAAGTGGAATTCTGCGTCAAGGCAAAAAAGATAAACAACAACAAGATTCCATTTATAGAGCGCCTTTCACGTCGGAAGGACGTCCCAAGACGCTGGACAGTTGGGTCAGCGTGTTTTATACCTTTAAAGTGAAGAAACTGTTAACGAGAAATTCCACCCGGGTCCAGATTGACTCCCATTTACGTAGCATTTCGGAGCAGCAGAATTTGGCAAATTGTTGAATTCAATCGTACCTTTGAAGTTGGTTTTCTTCAGTTCTGAAACATTCTCTTGCATTTCATTCCAAAGTCCCTCCAAGTCTCTCCCTCCCTCCTCTCTTTCAAGGCACATCTTAAAAATGATCTTTACGACTGTACTCTGGGTCAGCTTTCCCCTTTTCCCCCCAACTCGGTTTCCACCCCCAGCTTGTCTGTCCAGGCAGCACTGTGAAGCGCTTTATATGCGCCTCTGGAGGTGGCAGTTTTTATTGTGCGATCTTTGCCTGAGTGTTGGCAGACTTGTTGTCTATGGGCGAGAGGAAGTGGATCACAGTAATCAGGAGTGGAAACCTTGGCTGATTTTCCCCCCCCTCTCTAACCCATTAGAGGCCAAGCGTAGTCCCGGCTGAGATCAACTAACTTAGCACAGACCGGAAACCAAACCCGTGATCTTACTGTGTTGGCTCCGCTGCTGGTTAGACTTGTTTATTAGCTATTGATGGAGCTGAAGACCAGAATGCAATCAGGGCTACTGATCGGGGTTGCTGTGGGAAGCTGGGTTGCTTGTTGCTTCTCCTACCGTTGATTTATTAAATAATAAACTTGCTGTCATTGGTAGCTCAGCAGTTTGGGTGGCGGAGCATCTCACCCACCTGTGTAAAATTGGCAGCTGTGCCCTGGCTGGGGTGAGGAGGGCGAGCCCTGCTCTTGCTTGATTCGCTTGCGCTTATTCGGAACGGCGGCTCCTTGTTGAGGCAGGGGATGGGTGGCTGCCATCTCATCCGAAGAGCTGTCGGAGGTCACTGCTGCCTGCCACTGAGCTCGCTGGGCGGCCGGGGCTGGAGGGAACCTCTCAGCGCCTGGAAGGAGAAAGCACCTGTAAGCAACAGTGCCAGAAGATGCACAGCCTGTGGGTGCAGCTCGCTCTTATGGAAGACTCAGCACATTGATCAGGGAAGAGGGCAGACACAGCCGCCAAAGGCAGCAGAGCAGAGCTGTGCCACAGCCTGAGGTGCCTTGAGCTAGTGAGAGTCAGCCTGGGTTCTCGTTCCCTTTCGCTATCTCGTGACTATTTGCTGGAAGCGCAGACACTGGGCTCCGCTGTGGCTGAGCAGCTTAGCCTCACTGCATCAAACAAACGCCAAGTTTATTACTCTCGGCGTAACAATGCTGCTCACCCAGGTAGAATTGTGGCTCCTGTTCCTCAGCTCCTCCCGCTGGCCGCTCAGGACGATCCTCCTCTGCCTCGTCCAGCCTCTGGGCGCCCACTCCCTCGCCGTAGAAGTCTGCAACGTGTGGCCCTTCTTGCAGGTAGCGGGAGGGAGGCATGAACGCTGGGAAACCTGAACCAATCGAGACCTGTCGGTTAACGTTGGCGTTTCAAAGCCCCACAGCTACCTGCACCCTCAGCACGGCATTGGAGTGTTAGCATAGACCTAGTGGAGTCCTGCAGCTTTAGTGGTTAGAGTCAGGGCAGGGGCCGAAACGCTGGGCAAGTTTCCTTACTCCGCACGCCTCCGTGGGAACCTGGTTGTTAGTCGATGGGCGGATCGCTTTCCGGGGGTAATAATCCCTCAAGAAAAAAGGTCACTCAATCAATGATCGTTTCAGGGACCCTACTGTGTGCAATTGGCTCCTGCATTCGTCCACAAAGTAGACGGTCAATTCACTTTACAGCATATTCCGTGAAGCTCTTTGAGACGTCTCGAAGACGTGATAAAGCGTTATGTCAAATGCAAGGATTATTATTATTATTATGGACCATATGTCGGCGAACACCTCTGACAGTGCAGCACAGTCTGTGTAGGCGAACGTGGCAGTTGATTTGGGCACAGCAATGTCAGCCATGAAGTGAGTGAACTTTTTTTTTATTTGGGGGATTGTTGGGCAGAACACCAAGAGAAATTCCCTGCTCTTTTCAAGCAGTGCAATGAGAATCTTTGAACCTGACACCTGAACAGGCAAATGGGGCCTTAGTCTTAACATCTCATCAGAAGGACGGCACCTCTGACAATGCTGTGGTTTTCCAGCATTGCACTGGCGTGACAGCCCAGACGCTGAAACGTCTGTGTATAAGTCAACTGACTGCTGTAACTCACTCAACGATGGGTAGGATTTTACAAATCATAGAATCATAGAATTTTGCAGCACAGAAGGAGGCCATTCAGCCCATCGTGCCTGTGTCAGCTCTTTGAAAGAGCTACCAACTATACCACGCCCCCGTTTCTTACCCCAAAGTCCTGCAAATGTTTCCATTTCAGTACCTATCTTAATTCGCTTTTGAAAGCTATTACCGAATCTGCTTCCACCGCAATGCATTCCAGACCGTAAAAATTCACCTCGTCTCCCCTCAGGTTCTTTTGCCAATTATCTTAAATGCCAAAGAAAATGCTTTAAATCGAGGAAGCAGAGAAATGGGATGACAAATATCTGCCATGAAACACAGCTTGGCTGATATGGAGTCCTGTAGCTCAGTGGTTAGAGCACTCGCCTCGCAAGCGAGAGACCTGGGTTCGATTCCTGGCAGGGCAAAACCTTGGGCAAGTTTCCTTACTCCACACCCCTGATAATAATCCCTCAAGAGAAAAGTAAAAACAATAATAAATTGGTCACTCAATCCGCGACTGTCTGTGGGACACTGCTGTGCGCAATTGGCTGTGCGTTTCGCCCACAAAATATACAGTCAGTTCATTTTACAGTATAGTCTGAAGCGCTTTGAGACGTCGAAGACGTGATAAGGCGCTGTACCAAACACAAGGATTATTATTATATTTTTATTTAGTAATGCCACCTCTGGGTCAGAAAGTCGTGGGTTCAAATTCCACAACGGGACTTGAGATCAAAGTCTGGCTTCACACTCTGTTGCAGTCCTGGGGGAGTGTTGTGTTGTTACAGGTGTTGTGTTTCGGAAGCATTAAACCATTATCTACCTCTACAGGTGCACATTAAAAATACCATGACCGCTGTACAGAAAATTGATCATTCACTTCATGACAGTGTATGGCACAAGTGCTGCTATGTGTTTATCTGCAAAAACAGTCAGTATACTTGGCAGTAATTTACTTGTGAAGTACTTTGAATTGTTTGGACGTGATAAGATTTTATTTAAGTGCAAGTCTGTCTTTAATAAATAATGGCCACTTGGGGAGTTGTTGGAATCTACTCATGGAATTGTCTTCCAATTCAAGGAAAAACGTCTCCAGGAGAGAAAACAAATTAAATAATAGACAGTTTGTGGTGACCTCCAGGCTCCGAGAAGCAACATACTTAAAGCTGATCAATACGTTATTTAATTGCACATTCACCATTGAGCAGACAAATTTCCTCCACGAACCAGCGACCAACACTTAGCAAACTGGGAGAGATGATGACCAGCAGCCAAAGAAGAAAGTGTTCTGGGGACGTTAGCTAAAGAGGCATTCAGCCATCCAACCCCTTTCCCCCCCCGGCACTGTGTCAAGGACTGTGCTAAGTGATGTGCCAATCATTGTATCAAGCATTGAGCTAAGAATTGTGCCAAGTACTATACAAGGCTCTGTGCCAAGGGATTACCAGAGACTGTTGGCTTTGGAGGTGTGCGCTCAGAGAAAATAGGCACATCTGCTTCTCTGTTTATCTCAAATGGCTGTTAATGGCCTCAGAGGCCTTTCCTATCCAGCTGTGGGGTTGTTAATGGCTGAACAACCGAGGAGGCAGGACAAGGTCACCTTACAGCCTCATTTGTACCATCGCAGATCTGAGCTTGCTGTGATTTGTGATGCAGGATCGCGCTGACTGCCACATTGTAATGGCAAAGAGTAATGGATTCCCAGCGGATTTGGAGTAATGTCTCCCACCTGTCTGAGGCTCAGACAGCACTGTTACTGGGTCAGGCTGGTACAAATGGCTGAGACAAATCCTATGCCAATTTTCAGCTGCAGATCATTGCTCAATGCATGTCCACTGGCACCATGCACAGTCTCACTTCATCACCAATTTATCTGGGAGCCTCGTTAACATTTTTGGTCATGGAGAACACTGCCCAGGTCAGGAGGCATAGAGCAAAGAGCAAAACGTCTAAAGTTGTAGATAATAAATGCAATGCAGCATAAGGTTAACTATTTATGCCCAAGCGTTGGTTCTCTCTCTCTCTCTTTTCCGGTGTTTTGGTTCCTGCTGTTTCCAATGAGAGTTAAATGGGTTTTATTTTAGGGTTGAATCATATCTGATAGGCCACGGCCCCATCCACTCACATCCGACAAACACAGCCACACCCATCCTGACAGGTCATTCCATCGTTTTTTTCTCTTGAGTCTCTCATTTTCTATTTTTGTCTCTCTCAACAATTTTCTCTTTCTCTGACTCCCAAGTCTACAGTATTAGTTAGGGTCAGAGTCAGAGATTATTTCAGAAGGGAGTCTGCTTTTGACCTGAAAAGCATGGGTGGCGAGCAAGAGAGTGGCTTTAGATCAGGTGATTTATATATGGAATAAAATGCCAGCGCAGACTCGCTATGATGTGACAATCTGTGATTCTATCATTAGAAGCAGAGCCCTAACCCGGGGTCACTGATGCTAATTGCGGATTCCCTCAAACCACTGAAACCAGAAGCTTAATAATAATAATAATTGCATTTGAAATAGCACATTATCGCGTCTTCAAGAATATTCTGTAAAGCGAATTGCCTGTATATTTTGTGGGCGAAACGCGGCAGCCAATTGTGCAAAGCAGCGTCCCCACAAACAGCCGTGGATTGAAGTGGCCAAAATTATTATTTTTTTAAGGAATTATTATTCCATGAAAAGTGATCCGCCAATCGACCAGCAACCGGGTTCCTACTTACTGCTAGGTAAACAGAGGCGTGTGGATTAAGGAAACTTACCCAATATTTCGCCCTGGTGGGAATCGAACCCAGGTCTCTCGCTTACGAGGCGAATGCTCTAACCACTGAGCTACAGGCAATCAGCTAAAGTAGCACAAACCCGGATGGCATTGAGTGGCATCTGAACAGTGCCTTATCCATAGCACTACGAGAAGATCTCTTATAGTAGCAGCGTCCCTATATATTCCTCTCGCTGAACCTGACATGAAAAGTTTGAGACGCTGAAGGAGTTAAACAGATAACTGGATCATGATTGGAGTCTGAACTTATAGTGCAATGTATGGCTATTTCATTGATGCTCGTGTGACTCACAATGCTCTCCTCTGATTAGGAGAAGAATGAAGAATTAAATTGTATTATTTTTGAAACACAAGAACCTACAGCGATCAAAAAGTAATATTGTGGGAGCAAGAGTGTGAGTGGTCTGCCAGTGGAACACATTGAATAAAGTCCTTGTGTTCACATCGCTTGATCAGATTACTGATCTCCAATGCCTCGGCTTCTCCAGCTACCTCACGTCAAGAGAAAGACAAGAGCCGCCATTTACCATTTAGCTTTTAGGAGAATAAGAACGCTTTTGAATTCCTCGTAACTCTTTGTCCTGATAAGATCGTCTGTCTAGTGCTAAAAGCACCAGTTTCACATTGAACTCTCCTTGCAGTTCCGTTCCATATAGCAGTCGAGCTGAGCTGGGTCCCAGATAAAATCAACTTCCATTCCGCTGACGCAGGGAGTGATCTTAACGAAAGCTCGATCCTATCTGAGAAGAATGAGGGGGTTTTTTTTCTTCAGGCTTACGACTGCTTTTTTTAATAAGAAACAAAACAACAGGATGTGATTTTTAATCTAGATAATTTTTACAAAGATTCTATTTTGATGGTTTATATAATCTTTACTAGCGCTAACCCTTGAGAGTACTGAATGCCACTCGTGCTTAATTGGCTACAAAAATAGTCACTACATCTACAGTAATTACTGTGAAGCCCACTGAGACATTTTGATGAAATAAGGTGCTATTAAAATGCAAGTTCCTCCTTTCTTTGTCTCTCTGCACAAGTCAGGGATTTTTTTATTACATGTTGAATATTTAC